CCCATTTGACTGGGTTGCCCCAGCCACTCTGAGTATCTTCCAACATAACAACAACGCAGCAAAATGTCAACCATTAAGAACTTCCCGATACAGGGCTGCCTTCAGATGTCTGCAGAAAGTTGTGAAGTTTTTTTATCAGTTTGACATGGATTGGGCGCTGGCTACCATTACAAATAAGATCATATGAATGCACAAAGCAAAACACATGGTGTAGATTGCTTTCCACACAGGTACATGATTTGGAACTGTGAAAATGCAGGAAACTGGACACAAGGCAAACGTGAAGAAGCAGTATAGAGAAGGTCCATATGCACTACACACTAAAACCAGAGAATGATGCTGTTAAAATAGCAAAGTGCCAATAAACTGTGGTCAAAACATGTCATTGCTGCAGGGCCATGAAATCTAGCTAGAACTGGAGCAACTCTGGAAAACGTCACCTTTGCTAGTAAGGAAATGGCTGCCTGACAACATGGTGATGACTCCATGGATCCATTTTCCTGGATTTACATGGATATGCATTAACACTCAACTGGGCAGTGCAGAATCCACCCACCATCGTGGATTAAATACATACTGATGTGTAAGCAAAAGCTATTTATCATGATGGCAGCATCTACATGGTACCAAAACTGGTGTGGCTGCTACATCACCCAAAGGTAGATCACTCCTGGCTCAGTACGTCAACCGTTCTTTGCACACCATGCCATATCAGAGCTGGTGCAGTACAGTTGGGTGAGCTGTAAACTCCCTACCTGCACGAAATCTCAGCTCAGCCCCAAATATTCACAGTGACGATAAGATGGAGAAAACCAATACTACTGATCCATGCTGCTGCGCTGTTGTGAGGATTACTAAGGCAGTCTATACAAAGTGCTCTGAACACCTAGAAGTGCCTTTTGCTAAATATTATTATTAAGAGATTTGGCTATTATGTCATGTGCAGACACAGCCTACCAGCAGGAACAGGAACACCAATCACTTTTCAAAACTGGATGCTTATTATTAGATTACTGGAGTTGTAGTGGAGTGTAAGGTTCAAGCTACTGATTGCTTCTTTCAGAGTGTCAAGCTAGAAAATAAGACTCGAAAACCCAAAGCACTGCTTTCTCCCCCTGCCCTAGCCCCGGTCGCATCTTATATTTTATTTTCCAGACAGGAAAACTAACTGCTGTCATGCTTTAGAGTGACATTCTGTCAATGCTAATACTGACTTGTGTCAACTGGTATTTAAACTATATTGTATACTGTGTTACGGTGTCAGCAAAGTTCCTGAACGGTTACATCAATGTCACATTACTGACTCCTTAGTTTCCACCACCATGATTTCTCCCTTCTAACTATGGCTCTCAGAATTGTTGGTGGGAGAAGAAAACTCTTAACCACCAAAACAGTAAGTCTCTAAAAGCAGAGGCTGGGGAGCCTGTGACCCAATTTTGTTGGGACTCGAACTTGCAATTGCTTCAGTCAGCATGATCAGAAATGATGGGACCTGAAAGTCTAACGACATCTGCAGAGCAACATTAAACAATACCATAACTAGACAATACTGCCTGGGCTGCCTGGGTATGAGGGATGCCCGTAAGTGGGGTGGGGGGAACTAGGTATCGGACATGGAGGAAAATTTCATTAAGAAAAGGTCTTGCATTTCACCATTAATCACTGGTTGAAAGGGAATATAACCAACAGCAATGATGTGCAAGATCCGCAGGATTTACCGTATTTTTCGCTCTATAAGACGCACCAGACCACAAGACTGTGTTTTTGGAGGAGGAAAACAAGGAAAAAAATATTCTGAATCTCAGAAGCCAGAACAGCAAGAGGGATCGCTGCACAGTGAAAGCAGCAATCCCTCTTGCTGTTCTGGCTTCTGGGATAGCTGCGCAGCCTGCATTGGCTCCATAAAATGCACACACATTTCCCCTTACTTTTTAGGAGAGGAAAAGTGAGTCTTATAGAGCAAAAAATACGGTCATTGTTTCTGGTTAGATGAACACATTTTAAGTCACATTTTGTTTACTTCTGTGGATGCAGACAAAAACCCTACCTTATGGACATTAACATTACCAGAGAGGGGAAACAAAAGCACTGGACCCAGTCTCACTGACGCATCTGGCTGGGTAAACATGCTTCTGAAAAAATGTCATTACAGTCGGTGGGATTAGTTCAGAAGACTTAAAAATTAAACTTTATGGATTGTAGCCTAAAGATTTGGACAGAACCACCTACATATCTGGATGCTATCCAACCTGAATCAAAGTTCCAAACCCCTGGAGATGCCCAAACCCTTGCTTTCCTGTCTTTCGGACTACGCGGTGTTTTGATAACTCAGTTTGCTAATCAAGGTAAACTAGGTAAAACTGCTGCACAGCTGGCCTGAATAAATAGTGAATAACCATGGCATCTGCCAGTGGGAATAGCATTCCTAGTAAAATACAAATTTCAAGAATGTTGCTTGCTTCTGCTCCAGCTTTCTTGAGCTGCAAGCTGACCATTTATTTATCAGACCTGTAGCCTTGACTGTGTCGACCACAGCAAACTATGGCAAGTTCTTAAAGAAATGGGAGTGCCTGATCACCTCATCTGTCTCCTGAGAAATCTCTATGTGGGACAAGAAGCTACAGTTAGAACTGGATATGGAACAACTGATTGGTTCAAAATTGGGAAAGGAGTACGACAAGGCTGTATATTGTCCCCCTGCTTATTTAACTTATATGCAGAATTCATCATGCGAAAGGCTGGGCTGGATGAATCCCAAGCCGGAATTAAGATTGCCGGAAGAAATATCAACAACCTCAGATATGCAGATGACACAACCTTGATGGCAGAAAGTGAGGAGGAATTAAAGAACCTTTTAATGAGGGTGAAAGAGGAGAGCGCAAAATATGGTTTGAAGCTCAACATCAAAAAAACGAAGATCATGGCCACTGGTCCCATCACCTCCTGGCAAATAGAAGGGGAAGAAATGGAGGCAGTGAGAGATTTTACTTTCTTGGGCTCCATGATCACTGCAGATGGTGACAGCAGTCACGAAATTAAAAGACGCCTGCTCCTTGGGAGAAAGGCGATGGCAAATCTAGACAACATCTTAAAAAGTAGAGACATCACCTTACCAACAAAGGTCCGTATAGTTAAAGCCATGGTTTTCCCAGTAGTGATGTATGGAAGTGAGAGCTGGACCATAAAGAAGGCTGATCGCCGAAGAATTGATGCTTTTGAATTATGGTGCTGGAGGAGACTCTTGAGAGTCCCATGGACTGCAAGAAGATCAAACACATCCATTCTTAAGGAAATCAGACCTGAGTGCTCACTGGAAGGACAGATCATGAAGTTGAGGCTCCAATACTTTGGCCACCTCATGAGAAGAGAAGACTCCCTGGAAAAGACCCTGATGTTGGGAAAGATGGAGGGCACAAGGAGAAGGGGACGACAGAGGATGAGATGGTTGGATAGTGTTCTCGAAGCTACAAACATGAGCCTGACCAAACTGCGGGAGGCGGTGGAAGACAGGAGTGCCTGGCGTGCTCTGGTCCATGGGATCACGAAGAGTCGGACACGACTAAACGACTAAACAACAACAACAACAAGCCTTGGATTTATACACTCACCTGGGAGCCACAGGGGGATAAGGAATTGCATGTAGGTGAGTGCATGGAATTCCATGCAGGTGAGTGAGCAAGGTAATAATGCACAGACCCAAAGCCCACCTAGTCTAGCAGCCCACCAACCACATGCCTATGGGAAGCCCACAAACAGGATCTGAGTGCAATGACGCTCTCTCCAATAGTGATTCACAGCAACTAGAAGTGTGGTTGGGAAGGAGCACTCCATCCTTCTGCTGTGTCCAGCATGGAAATTGAGTGGGCTGTCAGAGCAGAGAAGCTCTCTTCTCCATGCCCAGAACAGAAATACAGTGGTACCTCGGGTTAAGAACTTAATTCGTTCTGGAGGTCCGTTCTTAACCTGAAACTGTTCTTAGCCTAAAGCACCACTTTAGCTAATGGGGCCTCCTGCTGCCGCTGTGCTGCCAGAGCACAATTTCTGTTCTCATCCTGAAGCAAAGTTCTTAACCTGAGGTACTATTTCTGGATTAGTGGAGTCTGTAACCTGAAGCGTATATAACCCAAGGTACAGAAAATTACTGGAGGGAAGACAGAGCTCTTGGTCCCTTCTCTGCCAGACCCCACCAAGCAACATTTTCCTGCAGATGAACGAGTCATTTTTTGTGGGTATGTTTCCAAGCCTCACCTCCCTGTGATGCTCACGCCCCGGAGTGTCAATTCTATAAAAAAGAAGTAGCACCCCAAAACTGTGGCACGTACCTAAATGGTGCCTAATTTTAACAGAAAGCAAATGTGCAGTATGATATGTGCAATGATAACCACACCCCCTTCAAGAATGGTACAAAAGTTTCAGATCACAATCTCACAAGGTGGTTTGTTAAAGGGGGGGAGGAGCTACATCCTTAGCATAGCATTGAGCACAGGCTGAAAAAGGTCAAGAACCCTCCTTTGCTACCAATTACTTAATGAAATGCTTTTTTGGTTTTCATTACTCCAGCAAAAAAGGGGAATGAGACAAGCCCTTTTTAACTTTTATCACTTGGGTCAAATGTCACCTTCTATTTGAAAATACTGAATACAGTCTGGGGCTGTTCTTACACAGCCACCCTGCATGCCCCCCCCCCCCAGATTCGGCTAGAAAGCCCTATAACCTTTCTTCGTGGCACGAGGTTTACGGATCCCTTTGACTGGCCTGCCCCTGGAAACTTTGGACAGCTTTGTTCCACGGAGGTCAAGGTTCACCGGCTCCCATTTGACATCAATAAACGCCAGCCATTCCTGCTGAGCGTGAGAAATCGATTCTCAGCTGTACGTTTTCCAAAAGCTCTTTTTAAACTAACTGAATGGAACTGGCTGGCGTTAGAGAAATAAAAACTAGGATGGGGAGGAATGGGATTGGTGGCGGCAGAAGAGAGGGGGGCAGGAGAGACCACTCACCATTACAAGAGCAGCGTACATTTCGGAAGAATCGGGGACACACAAAACTAATCCGCGCTGTGCTGTAGGTCATCAGGGAATGGGAATCAATAGACAGGCTTTGCTCGCAGTGCTGCTCCTGACAATCCAATCCTGAGCAATTCTTCTCCAGTATAGCTGAGACGCGGATCACATTTTCCAAGTGTCGCCTTGCATTGGTGAGCTTCTGAATCAAGTAGGCAGGCTTATAGAAGCCGCCCGTGGGCATCTGAACCGCAAACAGCATGTCAAGCTGGTTGGTGCCCGCCACGGGCTGAATACTGATGATGTGCAAGCTGTCTTGCTTCTGGGTGAGCACGGCGTTGCGCAGGGTGCGCCTGAAGCCGTGCATGTGGAGCCCCACAAAATCCTCGGGGGAGACGTTCTCGAAACGGATGGTGACCGTGTTCTGAAGCATCTCCTGCATCAGCTGCTCCACGTGGACCGTCACGTCCATGGGCACCTGGAACCTCCCGTCGCTGACTGATACATTCAGGATGTACTTTCCGCTATCCAACCCGCCCAGGGCAATGATCTTCCCATCGTGGTTGTTGACCTTGAACAAGCTTTTCTGCTCGGACTTCAGGCCGTACGTGAGGATGTCGTACATGTCTTGGTCCGTCGCGTGTATCTTCCCGATGACGCCTCCTGGGAAGTCGTCTTCCATAGTGACGATAAAAATCTCCAGAGGGATGGCTGTTGGCTTGTGGATACTTTCTTCGATCACCCGGATTTGGATATAGGTGTGGGATACCTGCTGAGGTTTTCCAGAATCCTTTGCCTAGTTTGATGCATGATAAAATTGCAAAACAAAACACACCGTTATGTCAAATAATGGTCGATGAAGATCCGAGCGCTCCATTTTCTGAAAGAACTTCAGAGTCTTTGCAGTACAGACTCTGATCCCAAATAAACAGTTTTAAAATAATAAGGAAACACACATGCACAGGTAAATCTGCCAAGTTTCTCTATCAGGGTTCGTTGTGCAGTCCACATTAGCTTTGAAACTTGACCCAAGGCTACAATCCTAAATATGCTTACTAGGAAGTGAGACTCAGCGAACTCAGTGGGAATTAATTACGAGTACCTGCGTTTCACACTTAGGATTGTGTTATGACTCTTCCTGAACTGTTGGAACTGGAACCTGGGAGGAATTCATGAGAAATTCATCTTCCCCTCAATAGTTTGGGTTGGAGGGTAGCGAGTGGACAGTTCCCCTGGCCCCTTACTATTTTTGCAAAGATTATCTGGATTACCCTCTTCCCAAATGGGCAGAGCTACTTGCACACTGCATATGCAAACTGCAAAACAGGATGTATACACAGAGGCCTAACAGCCTGTGTGATCTCTGTCCCTTTTAGGTAATTAGATCAGGGAGCATTTGCAAAATGCATGCTCTTTTTGGCAGCAGAGGTCTGGTCCTTCCTGCTTACACCGTAAAACAGTGACTTTGCCTACATGTGTGACAACAACAACAATTAAAATCCTGCATCATTAATGTTAATCCGCTCCCAAATTCCATTTAACGTGAACGGTTTTGTAAGGTATCTGGTTAATTAGCCATCTCTACAGAATTAAAAGTGGGTAATAAAATACACAATTTTGTGCACAGTACAAGGGGGTGAAATCAGAAAGATGGCACACAGGCCTAATGAGAGGACGACAGTTTGCCATGAGAACTATTTCCCAACACTTTTTGTGTACGAAGAGAGCAGTACCTGAATGCAGAGCACATATTCAGTTGCTTCCCTGTACTTGAAGACAACTGCAGATCGTAAGACGCCTTGCTGGTCCAATGCAAACTCTTCGCCTTCATTACCCGTCAAGATGGAAAAGGTGAAAGGGGGTCCATTGTGCAGAGAGTCTTTGTCTGTCACCACCAGCTGCAGAATGCTTGTTCCCACTGGTTTATTTTCCTTTGTGCATACACACAGTGTATATGTTAAGAAAAGGGTTTTAATTATACATCTCGATACATTTTTGCCTGCTGCATAGAATGCATACGAATGTGGGGTGTGTTTTTTTATGAGGGTTCTTTTGTTTGTCTACAAAAAAATTTCCCACTTTGATTCTGGTGTTCAAGTCTGCATAGGAGCAAGTTGTAGCAAAATGCCTGTTAGGCTTGCTTATTTGTACTGTGGTTAGAACTGATGGGATTGTTTTGATGTCTGTATGGAGCAGGGGTGGGCAACCTTTGAACTCCCAGATGTTGTTGAACTACAACTCCCATCATCCTTGACCACTGGCCATGTTAGCCAGGGGTTGGTAGGACCTAAGAGTTCAGCAACATCCGAAGAAATACATATTGCCCACTCCCAATTCACAGCAAGGCAGATAATTTTTAATCAGGGATGTAGTCACGCCTACACTAAGGATAGCAGATTTTGGGGTGAATTAAAGGAGAGTGAATTGTCAGCGATATTTTATCACCAAAAAAAGAGGAGGGAGCACCCCTTTGATTTTAGGCCTCTGTTGGCTGTTACTTTCTTTAGACTCTGTTCACTGCAATGACAAAGTAATTTGCATCTGTACTGTCCACACAACAGACCCATGTGGGGCGTAAACTGAGTAGGCAGTGCAGACACTACAGAAGTACAGATGGAGAAAACTACGCTTGTTGGAAGCATACATGTGAATGTGGACAACAGAGCAAGCAACTGCAAGACGCAGGCGTGCACTTGTTTCTCTTTCATCATTCAGCTGTGTGTTGCTGCATGAGCGCAAGCCAAACCAGAGCAAAGTACAGTTTGCCAAACACAACTGTGAAAACAGCACTTCTGATTCCCAAACAGGGATGGGTGACTCTGTCAATATCCGTTTCCTTCAGTTTCTAAGATTTCTCCAGCCTTAAGTTTGGTTCTTCATTCACATTTCTGCATCAGTTTGTAGTTTTGTTTTGTTTTTTTGAAGTCCTCTCCTTATGAAAATTCACCAGAGAATGTTTTGCAATATATACACATTTGTGTGCAATTTTGCCAAATATACAGATTTTTGCTAAGCAATTATCCCAATTATAATGCATTTTTTTCCACCAGCAATTACAGACTTTTTCCAAGATATTTCCCCTAATATAATGCATTTTTGTATCCCAGCCAGATGGGTGGGGAAGAAGAAGAAGAATAGCAAAAATAGAACACTTTCTGCTAACATGTACATTTTTGTATGCATTACTAGGCTGGAGAACTGCAATGCAATGTGAAGAGAAGTGTGAATTTCGAAGAACAGTTGTGGCTTGGCTTTATGAAAGTGTGGTTTGTTTCTGACTAGGAAGACCAAGCCTTCCCTGGGTCACATCCTTCACTTCCCATGCCAGGAGTGGGGCACCCCCAGAAGCTACTGAACTCCAATGCCAATGAGCTCTTATCACTGCACATGGGGTTGATGAGAATTTGGAGTCCAACAGTGTATGGAGGCCACAGGTTCCCCAACTCCATCACAGGGACTTACATGGAGGTGCTCTTAGGTATACGTGGGCCTCTAGCTATTAAACTGCTACTTATGCAAATCAGTCAGAAAATGCTGCAAAGGACCCAGATGTTTCCTTATCACTGCAAACATAAGACCTGTTACAGACCTAAGGAATAATGTTCTTATCCTTTCCAGGGGGGTAGGGGCAGAAGAGATAATTCAGTGCTGATAAGCCACTTAAATCGTACCTAAAGCATCAGATTAGGACGGGAGATTTTCTTTCTGATGTTCAGGACCAAACTTACTTGGATCACAGCTGTATAGTTGGCAGGTGTAAATACAGGGCTGTTATCGTTCACGTCAGAAATGTCAACGTTGACCGTCACAGACGCCGACAGAGGAGGAGTCCCACTGTCTCTTGCCTGTATGACTAACGAGTATCCAGAAACCTGCAAAAAAAAAAAAATAATAAAATACATTACATCTTTAAATCGGCTTGAAAAGCCTTTGGAATTCCACCTTGGATTTGCTACTAACTGCATAGGTTTGTGTGTGGAACTGAATGAGGTAGCAATGGATGGGTGGAATTTTGTGGTGGCAGAATAGAGACTGCGCCGTTTCAGGAGCCAGGTAGCAAATTCATCTGTCTGATTGGTCCTCTGTGTAAAACAACAACAACAACAACATCACCTCCAGGGAAGCAGATAACAGCGTGGAGTTGGCTTATTCAGAAAAGGGAAAGCGTCTCTCTAAAGCTTTTGTCAGTTGAGAAAAACATTCACTCTTTCAGTACAGTGGTACCTCGGGTTACATACGCTTCAGGTTACATACGCTTCAGGTTACAGACTCCGCTAACCCAGAAATAGTGCTTCAGGTTAAGAACTTTGCTTCAGGATGAGAATAGAAATCGTGCTCTGGCGGCACGGCAGCAGAGGGAGGCCCCATTAACTAAAGTGGTGCTTCAGGTTAAGAACAGTTTCAGGTTAAGTACGGACCTCCGGAACGAATTAAGTACTTAACCCGAGGTACTACTATAATTTGGGGAAGATTGTAAAAAAATATTGTTGTGAGGAGAAACATTGCCTTCACTCTGAATTGGCATTTTCATATACCCAAAATGGATTGGCTGCGTGGCGCTGTGTCAACAACATGCTCATTCCTGTTTTGGGCCATACTCACAGGAAGATCATGCAGATTTTATTTATTTATTTATTTAAAAAACCCCAGTGCCAAAACAGCTGTTGATTGGATAATGCACAGTCCTCAAATAGCCAATGTAATACATACATACATAATATAAAAATGAACTCTTCATATGAGGACTGCCCACCCTTCTGCCCTGTGGGGGTGAGTATTAAGAATCACACACCCCACCAGAAAACTGAAATGGTACAGTCCACGCTACCACCTTATGCTGATTCATGAGTTCCTTAGAAACTTTTATCGCACGCCATGTATTCTAACACAAGGCCTCATTGCATTCTCTGGCCTTTATATATCTGTGTTTCCATGTTTACTGCTGCAGTGCATCTCAGATTCTGCTTTCTAAAATAAGGCAATCCATAACCATAATGGCCCTGTGGCATCAAAATTACTGCACCAGATGATACAAGCTGCAGATAATGGGACACTTAAAAAAAATAAACAATACAGCTCCTTGCATAAGAAATCCAGTACCAGCCATGATAAATTTAACTGTAAGTTGTGCACAGGAAGCAATTTTAAGCTTCATAAGCGTCAGAAATAAACTTGGGCAGAGGAATGGATTTCAAAAGGCATTACTAAAACCACATCCAGCATAGCTACCAGCCTGAGTGCCCCTTTGGTTAAAAGCTGAAGCCCTGAGCCCAATCTTGTGAGCAGCGGCAGTCAAGCACTAGTTCCTGGCATCACGCCACTCAAAGGCACTTGTGAAACTGGAACTTGCATTCTTGGGTTCTTACCAGTCATATATGCAGAAAAAGTGCAAGGCCCTCTCTGGGACTGCAGAATGCCAGGGAAAGTCACATTTTTTAGATGCCCTCATATATAACCAACAAACGTACATTTCCCTGTATATGCAAATCTAACAGATCCTCCTCTTCTGCCTGGAGTGCTAGCTTTCACGTGCAGGGACCTATTTTTTGTTTTGTTTTAAGAAGAAGGAGCATTCAAAGCCTGAGAGGTTGCAATCGAGAGATAGTCAAAGGCGCAGTACTATCCTATCTGTATTTATTTGAAAGCTAAACCCCATTAGCTTCATTAGCCTGGCCTTTGGTTTGGACTCAGTCTGGCCCTTCTGTTTCCCGCCCCTTATGGCCTTGATTTATCGGCTATTTTAAAATGAGGCTGCATTTTAAATTGCATTTTAACCTGTATTTTAAATTGGTTCTCCCCCCTTCTCTTTTCCCCCTATTATGTTTTTATGGTGATTTTATTGGTGTTAGCCGCCCTGAGCCCGGCGCTGGCTGGGGAGGGCGGGTATAAATTAAACAACAACTACTACTACTACTACTATTATTATTATCATTATCATCATCATTATTATTTATTAATACACTAAGGAGAACCACCCTAATGCCATTCAGTGAGGACCCTCCAGGCTTCCCTATCTGTCCCTTGGGCTAGGCCAGACCTCTCACTGGGACCACTTAATACCCTAAGAGGTTTCATCTGGCTGGAATGTATCCTTGAACTCTGTTAATGCCTCCAGATTGCCTGGATGGAGGACAGAGAGGGCTGTGTAAATGGGTTAGTTGCCCCGCCCAGTTTTGCCTCTGGCCCCGCCCACCTCTTGGAGGGGTTCCTCAGAAGGTTGCCCAGGATGGAATATGTCCCTTAGCCTGGAGAAGGTTCTCCCCTCCCCCACACCGTGTTAGCACGGCTGTCAGAGAAGAAGAGTGGTGGGGTGCTGGTAGAATTGCTGGCTTGCTGATGTCTCTCTCCCCTGTTATTGTACGTAACCTGGAAATATGATGTGAGTTGGCAGCACTTGGGCATCTCCCTGTAATATGCAATTTGGAATTTAGGCGTGATTAGGAATTGTGAATAGTGATTAGGACGCGGGTGGCGCTGTGGGTTAAACCACAGAGCCTAGGACTTGCCGATCAGAAGGTCGGCGGTTCGAATCCCCGCGACACGGTGAGCGCCCGTTGCTTGGTCCCTGCTCCTGCCAACCTAGCAGTTCGAAAGCACGTCAGAGTGCAAGTAGATAAATAGGTACCGCTCCGGCGGGAAGGTAAACGGCGTTTCCATGCGCTGCTCTGGTTCACCAGAAGTTGCTTAGTCATGCTGGCCACATGTACGCCGGCTCCCTCAGCCAATAAAGCGAGATGAGTGCCACAACCCCAGAGTCGGTCACGACTGGACCTAATGGTCAGGGGTCCCTTTACCTTTACTTACCTAGGAATTGCAACTTTTGCAGATTTCATTCAGAGCAATGGGACCTGTCTGTGGGATTCAGTGTTTGCTGAACTCCCACCTGATCCAGCAAAACTCCAGCCCGGCTACTTCTTTCTCAAGATTATTTTTCCTACGGTCTACAGATGGCAATAAATCCACACACCCTCTGCTTCTCCTGCATTCCGCTGGCAAGCTATCTGCAATGGTGATTCCAAATATTGACAGCTTTATCCAGCTGACATGTTAATGCGGGCAGGGTGTTTTCTTTTGCATTAAGCAGCCTTGAGGCAAACAGAATTATTTTCCAAGTGGAGGTTTTTATTTTATTTATTTTTTATTAAAAAAAAACACCTGTTTGCTTGTGGAATTTAGTACCTCTGACATTACCTTGGCCGCTGGGAAAAACCGAGCAGGATTTACTTCTGTTTTCCACAATTAATAAAGCAGTGTCACTTTAAAAAAATCAAACAACTGCATGGCACACTGCAACAGAGAACCCATGGTTTCTTTGAGGAAAAAGTGTTTGTGCATTCCAAAGACCCATGCAGAAGACTGAGATGGTGGAACGGACTGTTCCATTGCTGGTGATATATGTATGTATTTGTAGTATATTTTACCTGCTGTTCCCTGTTCTAACAGTATACTCAAGCAATGAAAAACAAGCAAAACAGTTCATACACAATTATAAAAAAACCAGTAACACAATTCCAAACAAAAGCAGCCCAACGCAGATTAAACAAGACAGAAGAGGTGGGTGCCACTCCTATGGAAAGCTGGGGGAAAGTGGTATGCCTTTAGCATAGGAAGGAAGCTATACAGTGGTACCTCGGGTTAAGTACTTAATTCGTTCTGGAGGTCTGTACTTAACCTGAAACTGTTCTTAACCTGAAGCACCACTTTAGCTAATGGGGCCTCCTGCTGCTGCCGCGCTGCCGGAGCCCGATTTCTGTTCTCATCCTGAAGCAAAGTTCTTAACCTGAAGTACTATTTCTGGGTTAGCGGAGTCTGTAACCTGAAGCGTACATAACCCGAGGTACCACTGTATAATGAAGGTGCTAGATACAACTTTGTGGGAAGGGGGTTCCACATTTTAGGGGCTGCCACAGAGAAATCCCTCTCCCAGGCCACGATTCCCCCACTTCTGAGGGTGGCAGAGCTACCAAGAGGGTGCTGATCCCAAGGGATGGAGGTGGTCTTTCAGATACTTGGACTCTGAGTCATGCTGCCATGCCGAAACTGGAATCCCTAATTCCAAACCAGGTTCACACTGGTGTTTAATATGAGCACATTGAATTGGGCTGAGTTTTGGAATGGCAGCACAGCATGTATATTGATTATACACGGATGTGTATAATTGTCCTTTAGACACTACCCCATCTGGGCATTCTTTTTACTGGTATGAAGACAGTCATGAACTGGAAAGGGATGTGTGTGTGCTGGCAAGCTGCACATCTCCAGCATATGACCCTCCCTCAGAGCTCTCCTTGGTTCTGCAACTCCTGACCTGACTTGCTCTGTGCACCAGGACAGGACAGAGCGTTGCTTCTTTCATATGCTTCGGAGACCAGAGGCCAAACTCATTTATTCCCATCTGTCCTGGGACCTGTAAATCCTACTGGCAACACTGGCTTCTATTATCCCCAGGGTCTTAGTGCCCTTTTATTGTGTTTGTCCCTCCCTTCTGCTGTCAGCTAACCCTGTAGGCTTATCTTCCCACAGGAAAAGCTAACAGGAGCTGAGGACCCCTGGAATTTGTAGTTTGGGAATGCCACACACTCTTCTTTCGATCTCAGAAACTGTAACTCTTAGTGCAGGGGTAGACAATATAGTGCCCTCCAGAAGTTGTTGGTCTCCAGCAGTGTTTCCCAAACCTGGGTCTCCAGCTGTTTTTGAACTACAGTTCCCACCATCCCTGACCACTGGTCCGGCTAGCTAGGGATAATGGGAGCTGTAGTCCAAAAACTGCTGGAGACCCATGCTTGTGAAACACTGGTCTACAGCTAATCTCCATTCCGGACCTCTGACCACGCCAGCTAAGGCTGATGGACGTCTTGGGGGCAATATGTTGGTCATCTCTGCCTTAGAGTTACAAAGAAAGTTGCCTTGTATCAAGACAGGCCATTGGTCCATCTAGCTCAGTACTATCTACACTGGCTGGAAGCAGCTCCCCGGGTTTCAGATGTGGCAGATTCCCAGCCCTCCCCAGAGATACCATGGGTTGAATCAAGGACTTCCTACGTGTGAAGTGGCCTTTCCCTAGGATCTCTTATATCAACCACTGCTGTTTCTTCTTCTGAAAATCTGCGAACTCTTGAGTTTTCAAACACCATTGGAAACAAGTGATGTCAAAACTCTTTCTCAAGTCAAAGCTGATCGAAAACAAGATATATAAATTCCGGAGTATTTTCTTGTGATAATTATACTGTTGCAAGAGTGACATTTAAACACTGATGCCCGTAGTCATAAGCAAAGCTAACATGCGGAAATATTATGCTTCCAAAGAAGTGGAAAAGCAATGAACCTGAGGTGGCCTTACCCTTTCTCGGTCCAATCTCTTCTTAACCTTTATAAGTCCCAAGCTAGGATCAATTGAAAACTCATTGTTCCGATCTCCATTGATTATGGAAAAATGGATCTGCCCATTGGGAGGACTGTCAAGGTCTTCAGCTATCAGCTTTTGGGAGGAGGGGGGTGGGGAGGAAGAAACGAAAGTGAGAAATATGGATTCATGCATAAACAAATTCCACGGCACAATGATTCACTAGATACACATGCTTACACACTTTATTAAATAACACCGTTCAAATGCATAAAATGGCTTGTATTTCCTCAGCACGAGACTTCAGCGCTACTACAAAAGGGATGAAATCTATGCATGTTCTGTGCAAATCTTAGGGAATATAACGCTGCTGCTCCTTGCTATTAATGCTCAACAAGAACATTTTTGTTAGGTGCTTGACAGTTCCGGGGCATGGAACCGGAGCAGTCAGGTCACAAAGCTCTGCAGACTGAGACTGAAGCACAGAGTGAAATGATGTGTCAGATCTTGCGGGGGGCCCAGACAGGCCTGGGAATGAGATGTGCAGAGAGACTGGAAAATTTGTATGAAAGGTGCTCCTTCCCCTACGAGTTGCTAACGCTTATACCATTATTCTTTTGGTAAAGATCTGATTCCTTCTATTTTAATAGTGCATTTTCACACCCATTCAAAAGTAAGCCCCACTGAATTAAATGAGGCTTACTCCCAGGTAAACGGACATAAGATTGCAGCCTAAATCAGAAACCTGTGCTGTTATATATATATATATATATATATATATATATATATATGTGTGTGTGTGTGTGCGCGCGCGCGTGCGCGTGTGTGTATCAATATCTATCTATCTTTTGCAATCATTGATTATTGATTTTAGTTGCAGAATTCATTTTTCTTAATGTTCGTGCTCACAACTCTGATGTTCCAACAGAAGGCAGGATGCAAATGTCTGGAACGAATGATGAAAAACTAAAGGCTGGTCCTTTAGAAAGCACTGAAAGTGAAGTTTGTATTTTGCATCAGTGGGCTAGAGGGTGGTGACCGGATATGACTAGAGGCTGGAAAGAGGTTGGAAACCCAATTTAAAATATATCAGCAGAAGACCAGTAAATACATTTTGGTTTACTCCATTTTTGCAGTAATAATGGAGCCCTGTCTCCAGTTATGGAGAGAACGACATAGGCAAACCAGGTCTTTACCCAGACTGTGACAGGCACGACTCCGAAGTATTTATAACCCGAATGGAAAACGTAATTGGGGTTAAATGCAACAGTTTCAGCCATCTCCTTGCAGACTTGCCCAAAAGGGGCTCCAGGATATATATTAGGGACCCCTCAAGATCTTGTCTCAGTGACTCCTGACAGTGCTGAATAAGAAACAGAATCCCTGCCAGGGGTTCTGCTGCACTTCTGAAGTTATTGAAATTCCCCACCAATAAAATACATAAACAAACACTTCATGGAAACCCAGGCAAGGATTTGGTCACACTGGCTCCAAGCTGGCGTATCAATATGGTAAACATTTCGCAACTCACCGTTATCAATGAATCGCCTACCGAGGCATCCTCGCTGATGACGGAACTGTAGACTTCTTGGCTAAATCTCGGAGCGTTATCGTTAACGTCTGTCACATTTATATTCACTGTTGCCACGGCGCTTAGTGCCGGGCTGCCCCCATCTTTGGCTTCAATGACTAGGAAGAAGTCCTTGCACGTTTCATAGTCCAGAGCTTCAATTACAGATATGGACCCTTGGAGACGGGAGAGAGAATTCCAGTAAAGCACAACACTAAGGACACACAAGCAGATTTTGAATACTGATGTTAGCGACCCCAGTGACTGCAGAAGAGGCCAGGCTACACAAGGACCAGTTCTGATATACCTTTCCTTGTTTTGTAAGAAGCCTGTAAAAATTGCAGAAATCAGAGATACTGTTAACCATCGTTAAGGACATAAGAATAAACCTGTTGGATCAGGCCAAAGACCCATCTACCCAAGCATCCTATTCTCACAGAAGCCAACCAGGGTAGGCAGCCTGCAAATAGCTTCTAAATCCTCATGTAAGGATGAGCTGGGCACGAGGTTTATGCAGAAATGGTGGAATTCCCTGTCTTAAAGTACAGTAATATAAGAACCGGAACCAAAACAACTGTCACAGAAAGACTTCTGACCTCACCCCTCTTTGAGACATCCTCAGATTCACAGCACAAAGTGGGCAATTGACTAGCCAATCTGAGTTGATGACTCAACTGTGCAGACAGGCAATGGACAACTGCTGACAAAAGCCCTGACGTATTCATGTGGATGTCATAGCTGCCAACTCCTAGTGGCCATGGCCCCCAAAATAAAATATTTGAGGAGGCCGGGCTCCCACAATGTTGATGGACATTCCCATTCAAATTGTGTGTGTGCATCGCATCATGTGATCGTTTATGTGGGCGGGGCTTACCTGGGGCCCCACAATATTTTATGCAAGTTGGCACTCCATCCAACCTGAGAAAGAAGCCCTCTGTGAGACGACAGACATGCACCAGCACAAAGCATCCATTTGTCATTGGTCCATGGATAAGGAGATTTCCTTTTAAAAGCCTTGATCGGGCATTTTACATAATTATAAGACAGCCTGGAATCTTCAGTTTCTGCCACCGAGCTGCTGATAAGGGAGCTGTCACACATTAATGCATAATAAATGCCTTTCCCCCTCCTTCTCTGGTGATTAAACATCACCCCGGCTATTTTATTGATTTATCTTCTTGCCTTCATTGTAAAATACAGCTTTAACCATTATTTTCCGTACCCATTCCAGGGGTGTTGATATGCTAATGCCATTAAGCTCTTCTAAATAATAAACCTTAAGGTGCACTTGAGTAGTATTTTTTTTAAAATAAAACCATACACTTCAGAGTAAGAAATGAGTTTTCATGACCAAGGGAACTGCCAGACGGAGGAGTATAGAGAAAGATCAACTCATTATTTTAGGCCAATGGTTCTCAAAAGGAAAAGACAGACCCTATAGACACGTGGAAATAATTTGCCTGGAGAAGCAAAAGGTTGTCACTCCTTCATCTTGCTATATCTTGATCTGATCAAGAAAGGGCACTTGCCCAAACCAATGGGATTCACAGCTACAATATGTGGTTGTGGCCTGCTGTTTGTACTTTCTGGAGACAAGTGAAAACATTTTTCAAATTTTTCAAAGTGCTGGTGCTTATCTTTCAAACAGCTTGTAACCTGGCATGAGGGCGACACCTCCTCTCATATGATCATCCATGGAGACCCTCCGATTGGTGCCCACACTATCAGAAGTGAGGGAAGCCTTTTTGGGTTGTGGCACCATGCTTGTGGAACTCTCTTCCGCAAGCTCACCTGGTGCCTGTCATATAAAGGTAAAGGGACCCCTGACCATTAGGTCCAGTCATGACCGACTCTGGGGTTGCGGCGCTCATCTTGCTTTATTGGCCAAGGGAGCCGGCGTACAGCTTCCGGGTCATGTGGCCAGCACGACTAAGCTGCTTCTGGCGAACCAGAGCAGCGCACGGAAACACCGTTTACCTTCCCGCCAGAGAGGTACCTATTTATCTACTTGCACTTTGACGTACTTTCGAACTGCTAGGTTGGCAGGGGCAGGGACCGAGCAACGGGAGCTCACCCCGTCACAGGGATTCGAACCGCCAACCTTCTGATCGGCAAGTCCTAGGCTCGGTGGCTTAACCCACAGTGCCACCCGTGTCCCTTGGTGCCTGTCATATAACCTTTTCATTAACCCGGGTTTTTAATCTCTTAATGCGTATTTAAACTTCTGCTCTGATAATGCTCAGCGCTGCCTTTTACAGCTGCAAACAGGTGCTTTATGAATTATTACAAACCACCCTGACAGTTCTGAAGGTCAGGACACAAGTGTTTTAAATAAAACCAATAATAAATAATTCACTGCACCAAACTAGGTTTTCTGGACAACCCCCCCCGCCCCGTATGTGGGTCAAGGGCTATTTCTCCCTTTCTCTTGCTTTGGTAACTATAAAAGGGTGGCTGAATATTGACAAATTGAGTACACAGTTCTGTGGGACCCAGAAGAAGACGGGGAGGAGAAATTGGTTTGCTTCACGTTTTAATGTGACCCAAATCCACATTTTCTGCACCAAGATGCAAACAAAACATTGCAGCTTTCCTTCAGAATCCACACTTCTTTGTATTTTGTGATACAATTCTCCAGCCAAAGGTTGTGCATGAATTTGTGTACATAAGGAGAATTGTGCACAAAAATAACATACAAAGATGCACTATTGGGGAAAACTGCTGTTTTCCCTCCTATTCTAGACCTTCCTTTTGCAACAAGCCTTTTCAGTGGAGGTGGTAATCTGCATCGGCCTTAATTTATTTATGTTTTTATTATTAAAGTGAAATAATAGATCACGTATATATTACACAAACATGTGTATATTAGGTAAGAGGTGTGCATTACACAAAACTACAAAGAAAAATGTCTGTGTTAGTGGAGATGTGACAAATTTTCATGTGAACTTTAAAAACGATTTCAAACAGATGTTGAAATGAGGTGAGCCGAACTTAATGAGAGAAGCCAAAATCGATAGATTCACCTGCCATGAGCCTGAAGGTATGAACCTGGTCAATTACACCATCCCAAAGTGAGAGGAAATGTAGGCCAGCAAAGTTGGCTGAAGGATGAAAAGACAAAACCTGAAAGGATTTCTCAATGCATTTTCAGTTTTTCCTAAGCGCTGCTATCTGCTGATTTCAGTAAGGATTAACTGGCAAGTCCATTTTACTCTTTGCTGTTTGACCTGACAGAGGTATGATTAAGTCACTGACAGCTCACTGATGTCCCTGGATTCTAAAAAAAGAAGAAGGAGATTTTCACCTTGAAGGCCTCTATGCCAGGTGGATTGAATGAAAAACTTGTGTCCTGCATTATAGTTTATACTGCATTTGTATGCTAAATGTATAGCATTGAATTGTCAGTTATTTTAATCATTGGCCATTGTGGCTATTTGAATTACGGTGTTATTAATTTCTTTTCCTCTGTCTAGTCGAAAGTATCTCAGAAATGGCTTCATCGTCACCCAGGTGTTTTATAGCTGTGGGAAGATTTTCCATTGTGTTCACAATTAACTACACCATTGTGTTAACTTCTGACTGACGGTGGTAGGCACATGTTGTTATACTACCCTCTGGCTTCTTAATGATTTTTTGAAAATAATTATCCTCCTCACTAGGATGTATATACTGAAACTAGAAACTAAAGGGGTAGGCATTATCTGGCCTTGTGTAAGACTGGTTCTGTATGTTGGTATACCTACTTTTTATAATTCCAAGTATTTATCTTGTTTCGGTGCATGATTTAAACACCTTGACTTTGGACAATTATACTGAAGCCTATGGGCAATTGATGAGATTGCATAATGTATTGAGAGAGTTAAAACCTGGTCTCCTAGATCCTAGTGCAACACTTTAACCACTACCCCACAATGGCTCTCCATGATAGTATTACCACAGAAAAGCATTTAGATGCACATTTTATCTCCATGTACCTATTTCTGAACACATTCCAGCCTGTTATGCTTTTAAAAATGTACTTTGTTATGTTTTTTGAGCCAAGGACTGTTATCAGACGATCCAGAGAAGTATGAAATCCAGAGGATAATTGATGTTCCAACTGGCAGATTAGTTCAGGAGATGCAAATTAAGTTGGTTCACTTAAAAATGCAGAACAAACTTATCCTTGATCTCTAGCATGTGCTACATGCCAAGAAGTTTGCATTTTGAATGTGGATACACCATGAACCATCATTGGTCAATGCCAGTTCTACCCATATGTCATATGGTAACAGTAATATTACTAGGGTACTTTGTAGGATTGCTGCAAAGAGTACTTTACAAAAGCATGTGAATATGATCAAAGTAACACACACAACACAACCAGTCTTCTGCTGTTCCTGTTATGTCTCCTTTTCCTTTCCTGAACCTTCAGGATAGAAATTTAAACAGTAAAACATAAATACTTTTCTTTAACACTTCCTCCCTTACATACCTGTCTTTGAATTGATCCTGAATTTCCCCTTTTCATTCCCAGACCTGATGATGTAGGTGATCTCTGCATTTGTACCAATGTCTTTGCTTGTGGCAAAAACGGAGAGAACTTCAGCACTGGGCGAGGTGTCCTCAGGCACTGAAACAAGGTAGTCTCTCCTCTCAAAGACAGGAGGGTTGTCATTAATGTCCAGAACCGTAATGGTCACCGTGGCGAACGAGGACAGGGTCTGCACAATGCTCTGGTCTGTGGCTTTGACAGTGACATTATACGATGGCTGGAGTTCTCTGTCCAATGGATGCTCCAAGATGATGATTCCCGAGGATTTGTCCACAGAGAAGAAGCCACCTGAAGAATCTGCTAGGGAATATACAATCTTTCTGTTCACACCTAAGAAGAAAAGATGAAGAAACAGAAGATGTTGTTAATTAAGGAGACCAATGTTGTAACATCTGCCCTGTGAGAAATAAGAGTCCAGAAGGGAGGTAATCATTTCAGCATTTCATGAGCCGAGATCCAATTGTGCTTGCATTTCAAAAAAGGACACAGAAACATGAACAGAGCCCATGTTGAACAGAGCAAGATGGTGATGGGTGAGGGCAAGGTGGAAAACTGGAATTCCCAGAGGCCAAGTGTGACGTTAACATATGAAACTGCTGGAGGGGAAATAGTTAAACAGGTTACCCAATCAGGACCCAGGGGGTGGAGTCAGAGGGACTATAAAACCAGCTCTTGGAGGGGTGAAAGGGGAGAGTTTGTTGGGAGTTGGTTGGTTGGTTGGAGTGGGAGTGAATTGGGATAGAGTTTGTGGGTAGGTTGAGTTAGTGTAGCGATATAAGCTGAGTCAGGAACAGTTAGGGGCTTGGAAGACAAGTAAATATCTGAGAGGTGGTTTAGTGAGTGAGAGCAGGTAGCAGAAGTTATAGGACTGGATAGGCACCCCGTGATTGTAATTGATACCGTTTATGAAACCACACGCTTGTTAAACTGCAATAAATAAACAGAAGTTTATGTTCCAATTTAACCCTGACTGGGCTCAGTATTGTACCAGGTAGGGCCTGGGTGGTGGCAGCGAGAAATAAAGTGGTGGCACAGGGATCAATAGACGGTGAAACGTCCGGGGACCCTGTGTGATCGCCACACCAAGTTCCTGCACCACTGAGGCAGCTGAAGGAGCCTCAGGCTGCACGGTGGTATGCAGAGGTACCACCTGGGCAGCCTTACAAGCTCTTTCAGTTGATTTGGTACCTAGTCGGGTGACCCAGGGAGCTAATACAATGCAACCTTTAGGCCATGGTCTGTCCCTCAGCTGAAGCAAATTGTTTCCTAGTGTGATAATGTGCCAGACAAGAGGACGTGATTGCTGATCGCCTCATCCTGCCTCTGCAATGTACCCTTTTGCGCCTAGCTTGAAGTGCCACTCATTAGTTCCAGAACAAGACGTTTTTCTTTTTTCCTGCTTTAGACTATGCAGATTGCCGAGCCAGGGGGCTGACAGCTTGTCCTCCCCTCTGATCCCTGTACCGCTTGGGGTGCCCATTCCCAGTGTACTGTGACACAGAGCTGTCTTTGGCCATCCCACCAGAACGTATGAGGCCAAAAAGTGTGTCTGGAGAGGAGGGGTTATGTGTACAAGAATCCTGCCCCAAGAATCCTGTGCAAACTGGGCAGGTACACTGCCCAGGTTGTGCTGGAATGTCTAAAGGGGACACCTGTGCGTGTTTGACTAAATGTACTGAGAAGCCTCTTTATGATCAGGAACCCTGCTGATGTGCTTAGAAGACTTCACGTACACATGTGAAGGTTGGGGGTGGCAATGTGTACAGGGGCATTGGGGCAACGTGTACAGGGGCATTGGGGTGGGGGTGGGACATGTGTCACCAGCCTCCTACACATTTTTCTTCCCTCCCGTGCTCAGGCAGAACACCTGGAAAGGGCCAATCAGAGCTCTGTGTTTACATCAGGCACTGGAACAGAGTTAACTGCACTTCTTTTAAGTTGCGGTGATCAGGGCTGGCACCACCATTAAGCAAGATGAGATGGTATCCCTCGGGCAATAGATTTTTGAGCACTGTGGAAGATAGTAAAATTGTCAGTTATTTTGCATATTGTTTTCATTCCCATAGGGGATGGGTGGGATTTGGATTTTCTGCCTCAGGTATTAGGCTGCCTGACAATGACTATTAAGTCAATGTTCTAATTACCAAACTCGGCAGGAGGAAGAAAGACGAAGAGAATAAACAAAAAACACTGCCCATGTTGTAAGAGGCAAGGGACAAGGTGTGACCAATGACGCCGCTGCAAGAAAGTGGGAGAAGAAAAATGGGAGAAATAAAGCACAACGCATCACACTCACATCTATTAAAAGAAACCCGTTTTGCAATCTGAGATCTCCTCTACAGATTGTGCTGAACAGGCTAGCAGGACCACCCTGGGGCAACATAGCAACTGTTCACAGTTCAAAATGGCAGCTCCTTTGAGGCACTTCCTGCTCCACTTCCTGTTTCCCGTTGCCAGGGAAGCTGCCACTTGGAACTGCTCTTATTTCAAAGTGTGTTGTCTCTGGGTGCCCATCCTTCTCTGTTAACACTCAGGGGTGGAGATGTCTGCTAAACAAGAGAGCCAACCGCAGCCACTTGCCGAATTACAGGGAGTCGTACGCTGAAGCTGACTCGAGACCTGAAGGGAAAGTATTGTTGTGATTGCCAAATTTCTTTCCACTGCAGCGGGACAGCTACTTGAAACCTAATTAAACGCAAATGCCAAAGCAAAGCCATATACGTTCCCAGGTTGATGCATTTATTTGTACAGCCCAGCAACGGAAACAGCAAACAAAGAACATTGCTGTAAAAGTGACAATGTACCGAAGCTGGTGATTCCTTATCCTCAGAGGCAGTTGCAGAATTGCGGCCCCATTGTTCGAAAGCAGAAACTTAAAAGCTTGACATTAATCAGACACACCAGAGCTACTGATCTTCCTCCCAGGCATATTCTGTTAATTTAAAATTTTGTGTCGGTATTTTATGTCTTTTTGCAGTGACAGGAATGCATGGCAAAAATTTTTTAAAAAAGAAGGGGGGGGGGGAGATGATCAAAAGCAACAGAAAATTACTTTTGTTTTCTGCCTGATATGGCAGAAGTGCAGCTGCTTCACCAGAGGGACCTGGGGGACTCCGTTTCCTCCAACCATATTCGTCACGAGCAGCCGCAAAAACAGAACACGGACTCTTGCTTAAATTGCATTACGAAAGATTAGATCACCCTCTATGGAAGAAGACTTGACAAGAAGAAGAAAAACCACCCTTCTTAATATAACCGAGACAGTATCATAAGCCTAGAAAAAGTCATTAAGCCCAAATGGTATTTAAACAATAATTTTACCATTTATCATCTGCAGGGTCAATACACATAGGATATATTTCCAAACACTCAGAAGTCATTAAAAGTATGTGGCATTTAAATGATGATTTTATTATCTGTCTATTCTGATACACAGAGGATATGTGGCCGAGCATTCAGAAGCCATCACAAATGCAAGGCATTTAAATGATGGCTTTATCATCCATCATTACTATTATTTATTTGTATTGCTAGAGTTCCCCGTGGCCTCAAGAGAAGGCATTGGTGGGTTATACGGCATATAAATATGGGGTTACAGATAGCTTGGATTTTTTATTTGTCAGTGCGGATTTGGAAGATTTCGTTTTAGTAACTGTTTGGTATGGAGACGTCACATGGGATCCATTTCTCCTGGTCTGAGATGTAATGAGGAGAAACATATAGCATGTTCTATAATGGGTTTGAGATCCTTTGCGATTTGTTGTGTTTTCCTTCCACATGAAGACAGAAACGTTGAGAGTAAGACAGAGAACATCTCTCATAACCAGGTGCAGGGATAAGCAAGAGGAGATGGTTTGCAACACCACTGGAGAGAAAATGCTGGAGCAGAAAGAATTTCTCATCCAGCTATGCAGTTCTGAAGATCATTAAATCTGGATTAGTCAGCCATCAACACCTATGACCATCCTCTTCCAAGCTCAAAATCACAGTGGGCTACTGAGTAAGTTTGTGGGTCCCTTTCCTGCACACCTCTGAGCTACGTTTTCACTGAGGTGATAAACCTATGCCTCGGTTGTACTATTTCAACAAGGAAGGGGAATTGAACGACTGGATGCTTCTTCGTATATAACAAGAAATTATAGAGCTCAGCCAAATATTCTCAGGATAGGTTTTTTTTCTGGAAGGGAACCCCCCCCCCGATATTTCCCCCCTTTCCTCGCTTCCCCAGAAAAAGGCCATTCTACAGAGTTTTTGCCAAATATTTCCCACAGTGGTGTGCCTCATCACCCCCAAGAAACTCTTGTACAATTTCTTTCCCCTGACACAGAGAAATACGGTGAAATTCTTCCTCCAGTTTTATTGCCCAGAGATAGGCTGGAGAATTTTGAGAGGCCATTCTGGCAGGAGCTGATAGGAGTATAGTTCAAAACATCTCAAGGGCATTGGCTCGTGAAGGCTGGCACAAACTACCATGGTTTTGTGTGATGTTTGAAAGTAACTGATGTCTTAAGGTTACTTCATAGACACACACACCCCCTTTGATACAGAGAAAGGGTATGAGGAGCATGTCTGTGAAGCATTTAATTAGTTTACCTGGCTGTGGCTACTTGGATTACCACCAGCTGGCTGATTTATGTAGTTCTGATGAGACAAACCATCTTCTAATTATAGACAGTATAGGGGTGGCAGGGAAGTCTTTTCCCCCAGGATTTCCCTACTTCAGGGTTTTAAAAATCCCGAAAGACAAAAAAGAGAGAGCCAATCTCAGGATGTTGAAGAAAAAGTAATGCAATTTTTAATATAAAAAAAGAGAGTGCCCAAGACACTTCAGTGAGAACAGGCTTTTTCCTGCAAGATATGGAGACAACACTGTTATTGACAATGGAATTTCTGTGCGAATGATAGTAATGAGAGTTTATATAAATATGTTACTTTTGAGATTGCATTTGGAGATTTTCATATGTTTTAAGTACAGCTTATTAATTGTTCTACCATTTCTTGCAGAACGCCCCCCCCCGAGGAAGGCCTGTTCTCATTAGTCACTAATAAAAACATGAATTACTCTTTCTGCAGCATCTTGAGATTGGATTTTTTTTTTGTCTCTTTCACAGGATGCTTCCCATTTCCCCCCCGTGCATCGTAAAAACTTTAGTAACTTTTCCCCAAACTAATAATTAGAAGCTGCCCTCTTGACTCTGCCCCCTCCCCACTCTTCTGTAACAGAAATAAACTTTTAAAGTGCACCATAAAACCAAGTGCAGGGCATGTTTGCAAACGGCAAGTGTGTATGATGGCTTCATGTCTTCAGTATGGAAAGATTTATAGCTGTATTAGCAGAGTGCTGAATCAAGAGATCTCCCTTTTAATATCCACATATCAATACTGTCATGTTTCATTACTAGCATTTTGCGTTACTAGCATTTGACCCTAATAGCTAATCAGTATGGAGAATTGAAGGTCTGCAGGATGAAAATTATAGAATGAAAGCTTCAAGTGATGTCTCTACTAGTAATCATTACCATAAAAGCTGCTGACTCCAAGTTTTCTTCTGAACTGCCGTAATCGCTTATTTCGGACATCAAGTGCCCTGGCTTACGGCATCACAAAAGTAGAGAACTGCAGATGCAATAAAATTTTGCAAGGAATTTTACACTTGCATTTCCAAGCGCTAAAAATGTCTGAACCCGAGATCTAAACGCCAACATTTAACCTGAAATTCCAAGTTCAAAGGCTCCCTTACTGTTATTCTGAAAGTTTGGATTTCAAAAAACGAATCTCAAGTTTTGAATAATTCATATTGAAAAATCAAAACTTTGATACTCAGAAGTCATCAGGTAAGTTAAGATCAGAGAAGAAGAACACTGTGTTTACAAGGAATTCAAAGGCTGTATGCTGCATTCTATATTGGTTTTAACACAAACTGTAGCTCATTGGTACAGCACATGTTCCTTATGAGGAAGGTCTCAGATTGAATTACCAGCATCTCTGGGTAGGGCTGGCAATGTCCCTAGTATGATACCCTGGAGAGCTGCTGGCAGTCTATGTAGACAATATTGAGCTACATGGACCAATGGTCCAACTAAGACACTTTCTTACGTTCCGATATTACTAGTGTAAGAAAGGAGAAAGTAGAAGAAGACTGTAGACAAAGAACAGAGCTTTGCAAGCTCTGCCAACCTACAAAATATTCGTGGTTTGCGTCCATTGTAGTCTTATTGACTTACCTACGTCAGGATCGTTGGCTTGGACTCTCGTCAGCAAAGCTTTCGTGGCCGTGTTCTCATAGACACATGCGGTGTAATGGTCAGAAGAAAACGCTGGTGGGTTATCATTAACATCTTCCAGGATGAGATGGATTTCGGACTGACAAAACCTTCCTCCTCCGTCCGTTGCCCTTGCGATCAGGTTGTACACAGGGATCTTCTCGCGGTCTAATGGGGCTAAGGTTTTGAGTTCCCCTAAAATCAATTGATTGGAAAATGGGGGGAGAAATGAAACCAGAGTCAACATCATCCTCGCCATTTGTTGTTACTATTACTATTGCTTTGTGGCTGCAATGCAATTTCACTTTCAAAATGGTTCACCAGTATGAGCCAGTATGGTGTGAGAGCCAGTATGGTGTAGTGGTTAAGAGCGGTAGTCTCGTTATCTGGTGAACTGGGTTTGCTTCCCCGCTCCTCCACATGCAGCTGCTGGGTGACCTTGGGCTAGTCACACTTCTTTGAAGTCTCTCAGCCCCACTCACCTCACAGAGTGTTTGTTGTGGGGGAGGAAGGGAAAGGAGAATGTTAGCCGCTTTGAGACTCCTTAAAGGGAGTGATAAAGCGGGATATCAAATCCAAACTCTTCACGACCTAAGAACTGAGCAAAAGGAATATCACAGAAAGGAACTGCCCAATCTCCTCTTTCCCTTTGCATCTTGCTCAAGTGCTTCCACCCAAATTCAGGCAATTCCAGCTTCCCACACTGCAGTCTACTGTGCCCCAGCACACACTGTGCAACAGGCCCCCAGGCCTCCATTGATATCTTTATGGATATGGGAAAGCTCTCTTGATATCTTTATGGGATATGGGAAAGCTCTCTTGCCCAAGCTACCTTCCACTTGCAATTCTCAGGAGGATACGTATTTTTGAACGTTTGCTTGTCCCAAGGACATAGTAAAATGATTCTATAAAAGGATGTGCCCAAGATCATTATCAGTTGAAGCAAGCATGCTTTGTTCTTCAAATAGCTAATGCCAAGCTATTGATTTTAGTTGAAGCAAACCACCGGATTTTTCTCTTCCTTCTTTGGTTCTTATGCAATGAACAAATTTTGCATTCAACAACTTTTGATTTAACACATTGGATGGGTGGTGGCATGCCAAGGTTTTGACAACTCATGGGTTTTGCAATCATAAGAAATGCAGAATCAGACCAAAGGCCTGTAACGAGTGCAGCTTCCTGCTTCACCGAATGGCCAACCAATTGTCTCTTGGGTAGTCCACAAGCAAGACATGGGGGCATTAGTCCTCTCCTCATTCTCCCACCCCCTGCCAACTGGTATTCAGAGGTCTACCACTCATGCACAGGTAGAAATGATAACTGTTGGGAACACGCCTGGGAAGGCTGCCAACTTCCCAAGTCATTGGGGCATCTCTCCGGTGGTCCTCTCTGGCTGTAAATCTCCCTCAGTCCAGAGAGACCGGTGATAAGCGACTCCTCTCTCCTGAGAGGAGCACACTCGTCTTCTTGCATATCACTGTAGAAGAAAGAGCTCTAAAACTAATTTATTTACAGTCTATAATACAAAGACTCCATCAACACATCTGTGCTCTTTGAGCACCAGTACAGAACAGCAACACTTTTAGAAGTGAAACTAACTTCCAACAGTACTCCAACAATACTCAGACCTCCTGTCTCAGGCTCTCTCAGACACTCACACGTTGTATACAAAATACATTACAACAGTACCACTTGCTGGAGCATCTCAGATAAAAATCCTAACAATAACTGGGGTAGCCACTGACAGACATGTTCACTCAACACTTTCTACCACATTGCCAGAGCCAGACCAAGGTGTGTTTGTTGGATTCAGACCTACACTTGGATGCTACCTTCTTCATTCCAGGGACCCTGAAGCCAGTTGCTGGAAATGCAGCTTGAAAGAGAAGCTGGAGATGGATTACAATATGATAATCATGGGAGACATGAATGGCGTGGTCTCCACTAATATGGACAAGGCACAAAGACTAATAGTTAGCAAGGAAGGGAGACTCCCTAAGACTTTTTTTGAAATGACAGAAAATATGGACTTGATAGATATATGGAGAACAAGGAACCCTCTGGAGAGAGAGGGAACTTTCTTCTCCCAAGCAATGATGACCTGGACAAGAATCGATCAAATTTGGATTACTAGTGGAATGGCTCCAAAGATTAAGAAAGTGGAAATCTGTCCAAAAACTTGCTCCGACCATAACGCCCTGAAGATGGAGATGAAAATCACAATAACTGGTCAATTTAGATGGAGAATGAATGACACCCTCTTTCGAGATAAGGAGATTCTCACGAAGGCCCAAAAGACTTTAAAAGACTACTTTGAAATAAATCTGAGGACCGACGTGGAGAAAAGAGTGATCTGGGACGCAAGTAAGGCGGTAATGAGAGGATTTTTGATACAACAAAATTCAATAAAGAGGAAAAAACAGAATGAGAAAAAAGAAAAGATTTTGGAAATGATAAAGGAAGGAGAGAGAAAATTAAGAACAAAACCAAAGTCTCAGGACATCCTAAGAGAGATTAAGCTGTATCAAACACAATATATGGAATTGATGAACCAAGAGATTGAATGGAAGATAAAGCAAATGAAGCAAAAGACTTTTGAATCAGCAAATAAATGTGGCAAACTCTTGGCATGGCAACTGAAGAAAAGGCAGAAATTAAATACAGTTACAAGCCTAGAGGTGGATGGGAAAAATATATCTAAACCCAATGAAATCAGAAACTGCTTTCTAAGTTATTTCAAAAAACTTTACACTCAAGGCCCGCAAAATGAAGAAGACATAGATAAATTCCTTGGAAAATATGGACTACAAAGTATCTCTTACCAAAGTAAGATGGATTTGAGCCAGAGAATCTCAGAACAAGAGATAGAGGCTGCCATTCAGAATATGCAACTGGGCAAATCTCCAGGACCAGATGGACTGACTTCCGGATACTACAAATCGTTGAAGGAATGGTTGATTCAACCACTAAGAGAAGTTTGTAATGAGATCCTTGAGGGAAAAAAGGCACCTGAATCGTGGAAAGAAGCATATATTTCACTCATACCAAAATCAGAGACTGAAAAGACCCAACTTAAGAACTACCGCCCAATATCATTGCTTAATGTGGATTACAAAATTTTTGCAGACATTTTGGCAAAGAGATTTAAAAGAGTGTTGATGGAGAAGATTCATAGGGACCAAGCAGGCTTTCTCCCTAAAAGACACCTGGCAGACAATGTAAGGAATGTAATAGATATTCTGGAAAAGCTAGAGGTGAATATAAACACTAAAGCAGTACTGATCTTTGTGGATGCGGAGAAAGCCTTTGACAATATTTCTTGGAGCTTTATGAGGAAGAATCTTCATGGGATGGGGGTAGGCCAGGGTTTTGAGAATGGTATGGCTGCAATATATTCAGAGCAAAAAGCTAAACTGATTGTAAATAATGTTGTGACTGAGGAACTTAAGATAGAAAAAGGAACACGACAGGGGTGCCCGATTTCCCCATTACTTTTTATCTCAGTTCTGGAGGTGTTGCTGAATATGATAAGAAATGACCAGCAGATCAAAGGGGTGCAGGTCGGAGCTAAACATTATAAGTTGAGAGCGTTTGCAGATGACTTAGTATTGACTTTGCAAGAGCCAAACACTAGCACGAAAAAGGCTTTAGAAATAATACAACAGTTTGGCCAGGTAGCTGGATTTAAGTTGAATAAGCAAAAAACAAAAGTTTTAGGGAAAAATTTAACAGATATGGAAAAGGAGAAATTTCAAGAGGAGACAGGTTTGACAGTGGTTAAGAAGGTGAAATACCTAGGGGTATACTTAACATCTAAAAATTTGAATTTGTACAAGGACAACTATGAAAAATGTTGGTCAGAAATTAAAAGAGATCTAGAAATATGGTCAAATTTGAAATTGTCAATGTTAGGCCGAATTGCAGTGATTAAAATGAATGTATTGCCTAGAATGTTATTTTTGTTTCAGACCTTGCAGATTCTCGACAAGATGGAATGTTTTAAGAGGTGGCAGAAAGATATTTCGAAATTTGTCTGGCAGGGCAAAAAGCCCAGAATTAAATTTAAAATATTGACAGATGCTAAAGAAAGAGGGGGGTTTGCCCTGCCGGACTTAAAATTGTATTATGAGGCAGCAGCTTTTTGCTGGTTGAAGGAATGGATGCTCCTCGAGAACACAGACATCTTGGATCTGGAAGGCTTTAATAATGTTTTTGGTTGGCATGCATATTTATGGTATGACAAAAGTAAGCAGCATAGTGCCTTTAAAAATCACATTGTTAGAAAAGCACTGTTTAATGTATGGATGAGATATAAAGATCTGTTGGAAAACAAAACCCCTAGATGGGTGTCACCAGTCGAGGCTAAAGCAGTAAAGAAACTCAATATGGAGGTCGGATGGCCGAAGTATTGGGAAATTTTGGAACAGGATGGAGATAAGTGGAAATTACAAAGTTATGACAAATTGAAGGATAAAGTACAAAACTGGCTTCAATACTACCAAGTAATGGAGCTTTTCAAACAGGACAGGAAAATTGGCTTTCAAGTGGATAAATCGAAACTAGAAATTGAACTGTTAGAACCCAACACTAAGAATTTGTCAAGAATGTATAATTTGTTGCTGAAATGGAATACACAGGATGAAACGGTGAAATCAGCCATGATTAAATGGGCACAAGACATTGGTCATGACATTATGTTTGCCGACTGGGAACAGTTATGGACCACCGGTGTTAAGTTTACGGCATGTAATGCCTTAAGAGAAAACATAATGAAAATGATTTACAGGTGGTACATGACCCCAGTCAAGCTGGCAAAAATTTATCATCTGCCCGATAACAAATGTTGGAAGTGTAAAGAGACTGAAGGTACCTTCTACCACCTTTGGTGGACATGCCCGAAGATTAAGGCCTTCTGGGAAATGATCTATAATGAAATTAAAAAGGTACTCAAATGTACCTTCTCGAAAAAACCAGAGGCATTTCTCTTGGGCATTGTCGGCCAATTGGTGACAAAGAGGGATAGAACTTTCTTTATGTATGCTACAACAGCAGCAAGAATACTCATCGCAAAGTATTGGAAGACCCAAGATCTACCCACTTTGGAAGAATGGCAGATGAAAGTGATGGACTATATGACACTGGCCGAGATGACAGGCAGAATCCGTGACCAACGAAAAGAGACGGTGGAAGAAGAATGGAGAAAATTTAAAAGTTATCTTAAGGACTACTATAAACTTGATGAATGCTAAAATGTTGCGGTTTTCAGAAATAAAGGGATACAGGGATATAAGGTTAGAAAATTAAAAAAGGACCAAGAAGATAGAGATTGGAAAATAACAATTGGGAGTTGCTAGTTGAACTTTGGACACTGGGATGCAGAGAGGGGGGGTATGGGGAAGTCAAAGGAAAGAAGTTTATGAAAATATGTTTGAAACTATACGTGTATGTTTGTCATTTTTGGTGTTTGTTTGTTTTTTGTTTAAAAAGTTTCTAAAACCAATAAAAATTTTATAAAAAAAAAAAAAATGAAAGAGAAGCTGGAGAACACTAGGCAAAGGCTATTGTTTTGCTGATCAGGCAAGGAAGGAAAAACAGGCTTCTGGTATTAGGTCTGTCCAATCCAAAGCATCCATAATGCCTACCAATCACATGGACTGCTGTTGCTCTGAAGAGAGCTGTGTGCACACTGTCCTATGTTGTACTCTGCCTTCCCAGGCACAGTGGGTGCTTCTTGGTGACCTGTTTATTGAGCACTCATCCTGATTTGCTTGCAGGGAGATTAGACGATGTTGTCTACTTAATCAACAATGGTTCCAATTTGTTTGCATGGAGATTAGATGACGTATTAAATCAAGTGTTATGCAGTACATTCCAGCACATTTCTTGCTAAAACTCTTATCTTTGTGGGTAGTGGATTTGTTGTACAAGACCTCTCAACAATAATTGCACAGCCTGAACCTGTCAGCAAAGTGACAAAGTCCCACACCAAGATGGCAACAGTCTGGAAGTGCCTGTACATCCTTCAGTTTCGGTGTTATACTTACAAAATGTTCTTGTCTTTTTTTTTAATAGCACAGACAAACTCCTTGCACCTGCTGATGGGATAATTAATTAACCATGGAGGTTTCTGTGCTTTTAAAGTGGCATCACAGCTTCTTTACTATCACAGCACATAACCCTTGCCTTCCTCGTGTCTTTCTCACTGCATGGGATATGGCAAAGCACCAAACTTACTGGAGCTTTCTGCTTTCAGTATCTGTGCTATGTTACCATTAGCTAGCAACTCCATCTGACTGCAACTTCGTTGAACATAAGCAGATATTCTTCCTGATTCATGAGAAAAGCAATGCTTTCTGCTGCATGCCAGCACCTAGCAACTGTGGGTAGCTGCTGGCATTGCTTTGGCTCTCCCACTGTGGCCATGCCTTGGTCTGAGAAGCTGCTGGTCATTACGATTTTCCCAGCATGCCCTGAAGCTCCCAATGTAGCACAGGAAATTGAAATGGAGGGCAGTTTCCCAGACCCAAACCTTTCAGTTAGGTCAGCCTGTGGTTTGGGAGAGACACATCATGGAGGGGGCAACCAATTGACATATTGTCACTTGGTGTCAATTGGAGAAACCAACTTTGGAGGTGGGGGATCAAATCTGGAGCCAAGCTTGGCTTCTTTCTAGGTCCAACAGAACCTTTCACTAATTTAGGAAGCTACTGTGACACACTACTGTATCTGGACAGCCCCAACCCTGCTCCCACCTTGCTCCTCCCAGTAAGCGGCAGAGGCTCAGCTGCTGGGAGGCTATTGCTGCAGTTCCTACCCCACTAGGAGAGCTATTCCTGAGATGAGCCAATAACCCGATTCAGCATAAGGCAGCTACCTATGTTCCCTCCTTACCACCACTGTTGGGATCTGTCTGACACTTAAGGATGGCTGGATCTGTCAATTTAGGTTTTCTCGTTTTCCCCATCTTAAGTTCAGTTCTCCACATTTCCACATCTGTTTGAATTAAGGAGGGGGAAAGTCCTCATGAAAATTAATAAGGATTTTAGTGTATATTTCTCCTAATACATACACTTTTTTATATGCAATTTCCCCTAGTATGTACATTTTTTGCAAACCAATTTCCCTCGCTGCAATGCATTTTTATGTTATATTCACCAGTACATTCATTTTTTAAAAAATAAATGCACTTTGTACATATCACCTGGCTGCAGTATCACATTGCAACATTTGGATAGGTTCGAGTTTTGAAGGCTGTTTGTGCTTCAGCCTGTGTATTCTTTTTTGGGAAAGTGTGAATCATGTAGGTTTCCTTTGAGTGCAAACTGTACTGAATTTCTCTGCCTTCCCTGTTATCAGGTCCTCAGCAGGCCTTGCGGATAGGCTGTGTGGGGCAGCAGCAGTGGGAGCAGTGGTTCCTTTCTTCTCCCCTGCCCTTGGGAGAGGAAAAAGGAAGGTCTCACATCCATGCCTCACACAAACCTCTCATCCGCAGCCCTTATGGCTGTCTCTTCAAAGCAGGAGGTCCTTGCCTGCTTACACAAATCCCCCCTGAGCAAGCAAATGCAGCAGCAGCTGCCTCAGCAAATGAGAAGCTCCCGCTTCATCAAAAGACAGCAGCAGGTTGTGTTGATGTGTGGGATTTTTTTGTAGAGCAATAGAAAGTGTAATGGCTCCTTCACCTTCCTTGTCTGAAGCCAGGCATAGGAGGTCTCTGTGGCTCCATCCATACAGGGTTCTGACTGCCGCTACTGTGCATCTGGATATCTGTGTTCATCCTCCATATTCGGAGGCATAATATTGGTTGCTGGGGAGGAACTGGAGAGGGCTATGGCCTTTATGTTCTGTTGCACATGGGCTTCCTAGAGGCATCTGGTTGGCCACTATGGGGAAAAGGATGCTGGACTTGTTCTTTTTTATTGTCTCGTGGCAGGCTTACATGATATTGATCTGCAGGGAAACAGACTCCTCAGATCTAGGTAAAAAAATCAAGGAGTTGATGATAGCTCTACTCCCATCACTAGGAATATCTAGCTTTTCAAGCATCAGTTACTCAGCACAATAAGCTGTAAGCTACCTTGCCTCTGTACTGTTTACTCTGTCTTTTCAATGGGGAGTGAGCTGTTATTTTCCCTGTTCCCATTGTTCCCTCTAACGCAGAGCTTCCCAAACTTTTCATGCTGGTGGCACACTTTTTAGACATGCAGCATTTCATGACACAGTACAGTGGTACTCGGGTTAAGAACTTAATTCGTTCTGGAGGTCCGTTCTTAACCTGAAACTGCTCTTAACCTGAAGCACCACTTTAGCTAATGGGGCCTCCCGCTGCCGCCACACTGCCACGGTGCAATTTCTGTTCTGATCGTCAAGCAAAGTTCTTAACCCAAGGTAGTATTTCTGGGTTAGCGGAGTCTGTAACCTGAAGTGTATGTAACCTGAACCGTATGTAACCCGAGGTATCACTGTAATTCAGTTTTACTAGCAAACCGGAGGTTAAACTAACCCCTTTCCAGCCCCGGGAAGAGCACGGGGAGCGTTCGCACAACACACAGTTTGGAAAGCTCTGCTCTAATGGTCGCCCCCGTTTTCCTTCTATTTAACACGTCCGCTTACCTTGATGGTGGGCGGTTTTGCGGCCTGACCACGGGCCTTGCAGCGATCTGGGGAGGGGGACAGGGGTCTGGCTGTCTGCCTACCGGTGACTGGCCAGTCTGGTCGGCTTTTGGGTGGGCCACCTCCTGGGGGAGGGCTCGGCTGGCCAATCAGACCAGTTGGGCCTTCCCCCCCCGGGGGGGGATAAATTGCAGCCTGACCCAGCAGTCCTTCCTTCTGCTTATCCTCGCCAGACATTTAACAAAGGGATACTGCCTTACCTTTCAAAGCAGCATCAGTCCTAACACTTTTCTTCTGCTCCTTCTTCAAGGAAGACAAAATAACCACACCCTCTTCCAGAACAATTTACACAACTTCTTTTATGAGAATCTGCAGCGCACATTTCTATGGCTCAGCAGTAATCTAGCATTAAACTCCTCAGCGTGACATGCGGACCATACAGAGAGAGCCATCATTCCAACATTAAACCAGCAGTAAATTTCCAGGGTGAGCATAGCCCACTGTGAAGACTACTCTTACCACTTTCTGGTTCCAAGAAAAACTTGTTGTTCCCCGGGCCGTACAGCGAGTAACGAATTTCCCCATTGGATCCAATGTCCGCGTCTTTGGCGCCCATTTTAAGGATGACTCTGTTGGGTGGAATGTCCTCGGGAAACAATGCCATATATGTGACCTGAGGACCAAAACCCAAAACGACAGAAGGTGATTGCTGTTGTGAACGAAACTGTATGTATGGCTTTAGAAAAGAGATGGCTTTTGCGCCATGAGGGGCCATAGCTCAGCAGCACAGTATCTGCTTTACACACTGAAGGTTCCAGGTTCAATTCTCAGCATCTCCAGGTAGGGCTGGGAATGTCCCCTGCCGGAGACGCCAGGGAGCTGCTGCCAGCCCGTGTAAACAATACTGAGCTAGGTGGGCCAATGACAGCTTCAGATTTCCAATTTCTCATTATCTCATGGACATCTCAGCACTGGACTTGCAAAAAACCAAGGTACAGAAAATACAAACCCAAGCTTTCCAGTAGAAATTAAGTGGATACTCAGGGATGAGAGAAGACTACCTAGGCTGTGAGTCCTAGAAGACCTATTCCCTGTTTTGCAGGCCTTTTTTTCACCAGGCCTGGGAGGGTGGGGACCGGACTGACTCCAACTACAAAAGTAGAGGCTGCTAAACAGGCTCTTGGGTTGGTATTATTGAGGGTTTTTCGTTGGTGAGGGGGCATACTAATTTGTGTACAGTTGTACCTTGGTTCTCAAATTTAATCCATTCCAGGACTCTGTTCAACTTCCAAAACGGTTCGAAAACCAAGACACGGCTTCCAATTGGCTGCAGGAGCTTCTTGCACTCAAGTAGAAGCTGCAGAAGTTGCGTCGGATGTTCAGCTTTTGAAAAACATCTGCAAACCGGAACACACTTCCAGGTTTGTGGCGTTCAGGAGCCGATTTGTTCGGGACCCAAGCCGTTCAACTACCAAGGGACCACTTTATCTTTATTTTCAGATTTTACGATTTATATGGAAATTGTTCAATATGGTCGAACTTTTTGGCATCCTTTATTTATCATTTATGACTACTTAGTAATAATAATAATTTATTATTTATACCCCGCCCATCTGGCTTGGCTTCCCCAGCCACTCGGGGCGGCTTCCAAAAAAATATTAAAATACTGTACTACATCAAACGTTAAAAGCTTCCCTAAACAGGGCTGCCTTCAGGTGTCTTCTAAAAGTCTGGCAGTTGTTGTTCTCTTTGACATCTGGTGGGAGGGCGTTCCACAGGGAGGGCACCACTACTTTTGCTACATTTGTAATTATGTAAATGCTGTCATGTTGTAAGCCGCCTTGAGCTTGGTTTTAGCTCTGGAAAGGTGACATACAAATAAAATTATGTATGTTCCGAGTTGTAGTCAACATATGGAGAAGCACCTATATACATCCCTGGTCTTTGTGATGCTCCTGATCTGGTACGATTTTGTACTGCATTGTTTTAACTTTGTCCAGACATTTCACTGGCCAATTTAAATTTGCCAATGGGAAGGTGTGATATATAAACCTTGACAACAACACTCCATTTTTAATTTTGTTAAAAAAAAAATATGTTGCCAACCAACCTGATCGCAGACAGGGCTGTTGTCATTAACATCTGTGACAATCACTTCCACAGCACTCTGTGTTACAAACAGTCCATCAGTCGCTGTAATATTCAGAAGGTAGACATCCTGTTCTTCCCGGTCTAATGGTCTCTTGACATAAACTTTCCATTCATTCTGAACCATGCCAAGGGCGAACTTCCCTTTGGGATTTCCTCCTGTGGAAAGAGACAATAACCATTATTAGAGCCACATATATTGTTCCCCAGGGACGCGGGTGGCGCTGTGGGTTAAACCACAGAGCCTAGGATTTGCCGATAAGAAGGTTGGCGGTTCGAATCCCCGAGACGGGGTGAGCTCCCTGTTGCTCAGTCCCTGCTCCTGCCAACCTAGCAGTTCGAAAGCACGTCAAAGTGCAAGTAGATAAATAGGTACCACTCTGACAGGAAGGTAAACGGCGTTTTCCGTGCGCTACTCTGGTTCGCCAGAAGCGGCTTAGTCATGCTGGCCACATGACCCAGAAGCTGTACGCCGGCTCCCTCGGCCAATAAAGCGAGATGAGCGCCGCAACCCCAGAGTCGGCCATGACTAGACCTAATGGTCAGGGGTCCCTTTACCTTATATTTTTCCCCTGTTTGTGGGAAGTCTCACAAAAAGTGAAAGCCTGGAGGTGTGTTCCAACCTTGAATGGCTTTCATCAAGAGAAGGAGCTGACTTTGGTTTTATTTCACTTGCTTCCTCAACTGCACTCAACCCTCCCAATTTCACAAAATCTTTCCAGCGCTGACACTAGCAAAACAGTGCAGTTGGTCAGCTTTGCTTTAGCCTCCTGATCACTATTTGGCTAACTGTGGTCCTCTGTCTTTTGCGACTACTCCAAAAGCTGCACGTGGTGCTTGTATCTCCCACAAGTCAAAAGTGGGAACTTTCAAGGAAACAATAATAATAAAGTTTTGAGATGATCCCGTTGTTTAGCTTGCATTAAGGGCAATCAGACTCAAACTGTGAACAATCAATAGCCTCCTCTTCACGACGGCACGACTGTCTTTCCACTTCAGTCTCAAGAGAGGATGTACTACAACCCCCTCACTCTTGTTACCAAGACAATTTCATTAGCTCTTGATTATGCAATCAAGGGAGTGCAGCAGGTTTCCATTAAGGAATCATCTAATGAAAGCTTTTATCACACTGCAGTGTTGTTTCTATTTTCATTACAATTTTTGTTGCGTGCGTGCGTATGTTTTGTAGTCTGCAGAACACACAAAGACACATGTGCCTTAAGTAGACCTAACGAGGGGTCGTTTAAGGAGCAGCTTAAGATAAGGCTGGCAATTAGATCGAATTTATACAAGAGGAAAAGGCAGCCAGGAGAAGGGATGAAGCCAATCAGCTTTCTATTACGCTGAAACTGTGACACCAAACCCGGCGATATTACTTTTCTGCATCATTACACCGCATGGCAACTAAATCAAGTCAGAACGCTTGTCCCCAGCTATCCTCCAAGAGGAAAATAAGACCATTTCACACACTAGGGGATACGGGGCATTAAAAGCATTGCCAAAACAGTCCTGGTGGATGGCCATTAACGTTTCCAGCAGTTATTTATGTTTCCGCTTAAAATGTTACATGTGCCAGTTTGTTCCGTGCAGTAATCACCTTCAACATGGCTATTCCTTGCTCATGAATTTCCCTGGGGCACCTGGCTAGCCATACTCGGAGACAGTGCACTGGGCAAGGGAGACCTCTGTTATCAACAGTACAAGCATTGCAATGTCTGCTCCGTTCCACTGAGTTCAATGGAGCTTACTCCCAGCGTAAGGCACCAGGAAAACAGGTCAGATCTTGTTACAACAGAGATGCAGTCTCGCCGGTCCTGCTCACCTTACAACGCAAACATGGCGCAACAGCCATTTATGGAAGTCCACTAGGAGCCCGATAAAGCACCAGTAATTTGTTGGCTGCCCAGGACTGCACAACAGCAGCGACAACGGTGGGGGTGGCAAACATTTTAAGAGCTGTTCGACAAGGTCTGCTATGTGAGTAGTGAGGTTACAGGGAACCAGACAGAGGGCCTTCTTGGTAGTGGCGCCCGCCTTGTGGAACGCCCTCCCATCAGATGTCAAAGAGATAAACAACTACCTAAGATTTAGAAGACATCTGAAGGCAGCGTTGTTCAGGGAAGTTTTTAATATGTGACATTTTAATGTATTTTTAATCTTTGTTGGAAGCCGCCCAGAGTGGCTGGGGAAGCCCAGCCAGATGGGCAGGGTACAAATAATAAATTATTATTAATTATTATTATTATTATTATTATTATTATTATTATTATTATTATTATTCTGTGAAGAACATGTTGTGGAATACACCTCGAATAAGGCACCAGTCTGGATGCCTTTAGCTGACACCATCCTGCCTGACTTCAAATTACAAGAATGAGATTCTGACTAAACATCAGGAAAAACTTTCTGACAATAGCATGTTCCTTTTAAAATTGGTGCGAAGAATGCAAAATAAATAAATAAATGGCTTGCACTAAGTCAGATCTCTTAATTAATTCAACCCCACAGAAGCAGATTTCCAAGGTTTCTGATGGGGCCGTTTCTCAGCCCTACCTGGAACTGCCAGGATTCGAACCTGGGACCTTTGGCATGTAAAGCAGATGCTCTCCCATTGGCCTGCGGTTCTTTCCCACACATGAAACAAATACCAGCGCATCCATGTGTAGCGAGCTTTCCTACCAGGCGGCTGCATTCAGCCAAGCAACAATCCCTCTGCATTCTGATGTGTAACATGGTCTCTCCCTGAACTTCTGAATCACACTCGACAAAGATGTAACACAAATAAATGAGCCTTAACAGTACAATAGTTTAAATATTCTTGGGATTAAAGGGAGCGGGGAAGTACACAGATATATTTCCTCCCCGCCTCCTGCAAAGTTCTATGTATGCTTTCCTGCAGACCTCGTTCTGTAGTAATTAATTAGCTCTCCCCATCAACATATTTAAGGCAGGTTCGGCATCTTAAGGGCGCTCTAATTAATTCATTTTTCATTGTAGATTTTTTTCAACCGAAGGCTCCTGGCTGCAAATGTTAATGGCTAATTTTTAAAATCCACCCACAGTTTTTCTTCCTACACTCTGCTTGGGCATCACAACATCTAAGCGTTCGCTCCAAAAAAACCCCACCACCCCAACTTTCCCCAAAGGCCTTGAGACAAGAAAAATATGCACTTTTCTCTCTCGTTTGTTTTTGTTTACTGCATGGTTGAATAACATCCCCATCCAAACCTTCCCTCCTCAGCAAATGTTGCAAAGCATACTTCAGAGCTCAGCGAGATGAAAGGGAATATGCAGATCAGAAATGAAATCTTTCAAGCACATTTTGGCGAGCCACATGCAAAGTAAGTTTAAGAGGCAGAGACTGTGTGATCGCATGAATTCTTGCTGTGAGTGCTAACTTAAAACCGAATAAAGTCTAAATTATAAATATATAAAAAAGGCTGAAGATGGGCCATAGCTCATCTCCTGAGCACACGAAAGGTTGGAGGCTAAATCTCCACCGATGCCAGCATGCTTTTGCCTGGGATAGCTCAGCCGGTAGAGCATGAGACTCTAAACCTCAGGGTCGTGAGTTTGAGCCCCATGTCAGGCAAAAAGATTCCTGCATTGCAGGGGGTTGGACTAGATGACCCCTGTGGTCCCTTCCAACTCTACAAGTCTATGATTCCAGTGTCTCCAGGTGGAGTTGAGAGGAACCTCTCCGAAATCCTGGAAAGCGGCTGTGCATATTCCTTGGAAAGTACGAACGAGGTACATTCTCCTTTAAATGTGAACGGAATAGAATTTCTTCTCCATCCCCTCATACTTTCTGCTTCTTTACGTCTGAATTGGCTAGAATCAGATTCTTGGTTGAATAGTGCTCTTTCTCAGGTAGAACTAAATTAAAAAATTCCTTCCAGTAGCACCTTAAAGGTAAAGGGACCCCTGACCATTAGGTCCAGTCATGGCCGACTCTGGGGTTGCGGCGCTCATCTTGCTTTATTGGCCGAGGGAGCCGGCGTACAGCTTCTGGGTCATGTGGCCAGCATGACTAAGCCGCTTCTGGTGAACCAGAACAGCGCACGGAAACGCCATTTACCTTGCCGCTGGAGCAGTACCTATTTATCTACTTGCACTTTGATGTGCTTGTGAACTGCTAGGTTGGCAGGAGCAGGGACTGAGCAATGGGAGCTCACCCTGTCGCGGGGATTCGAACTGCCGACCTTCTGATCGGCAAGTCCTAGGCTCTGTGGTTTAACCCACAGCACCACCCACGTCCCTTAGTAGCACCTTAGAGACCAACTAAGTTTGTTATTGGCATGAGCTTTCGTGTGCGTGCACACGTCTTCAGATACAGGTAGAACTGTTTTCCTTTCGCTGTGTCCTGGACATTATACTGACTGAAATGTCTGAGGCAGCGCATGTCCAAGCCTCTTAGGACACACATGGTGGGTGGGGAGTGTGAAAACACAATTCTACAGACGTTGCAATATTGTAATAATTTGGCCCATTATTAATCCCAATAATGGCAAAATGATGATTTACAGATCATTAGCATCAAGGAGCTCAGGAACTGTGGATCACCTACTAACCGCGGGAGTAGTTTGTTACTCAGACAGAGGGAAGCCTACAGCAAAACGCTGAAGTGAATGAAAGCATTCTTCCAAAAAGTGCTGAGATCTCTTGAGAGCAGAGCAGACGTCCGTATGATTTTACATTTCTAGCTCAAGATGGATTGCCCACATCTTGCAGGTAACCACTGCCTTCCCTTTGAGGGCAGATCTAAAAGACTGCTCAGACCGCAACAAACACTGTTCACATTAATTATCCCCTCTCCCTCACCTCTGGGTTCAGTGATCCGCTTGCTTGCGGAGACTTCGTGAAGTAAATGGTTCGTGCATGATTGTATTTACAGACCAGCCTTCTGAGCCTCAGAGTGACAGAATGGCATTGGCAAAGGAAAGCCAAACACTTGAACTGATCCCAGTGGAATGGTTCAGCTTGCAGAGTGAGCTCACTTTGGGGCGGGGCTCCCAGTGGAAATAATTTTTAAAAACCTTCAAGTGTTAAGTTAAACCTTTAAAATTCCACAGTGCCACCCAAACTGCTGAATATGCTTGGAAACAAATGGAGCGGAATGCCCATGATATTCATTTTCTAGAATTTGTATCTCAATAAATGACACAACGGTGACTGGGGGGGAAAGATGTAGCTCAGCTGTAGAGCATATGTTTTAACACACAGGAGGATGCAGGTTCAATCTCTGACATCTCTACACAGAGCTCAGAAAGGGCCATGTCTGAAACCCAGTAAAGCTGTTACTTGTTCTTGTACACCGCGGTGGGGAACCTGAGGCTCTCTAGATGTTGCTGGATGCCGGCTGCCATCAGCCCCAGCCAGCAGGGCCAATAGTTGAAGATGATGAGAACTGTAGCTGAGCAACATTTGGAAGGACTACAGCCCTAGTGTAGTCATTCCTGATCTTGTTGGACTGATGGTCTGACTCTGTACGAGGGAGCTTCCTGTGTTCCTATTTACACTCCTTCTGTACTAGATCTTAGCCTTGAGTTCACATTGGTCTACTCTGAAGAAGGAAACCATGGCTTGGTTACATTTAATCGGATGAATTCAAGTCAACTGTAAATCAAGGGTAAAAATCGGCAGCAGATTGTTACGTATGAGTATGCTCCACAAGATACAGGGCTTATCTGCACTTAACTTTCCTCCGTTCTTTCCAGGCATGGTCCACAATTTAAAGCTCTGTGTCTAAGCACCCTTTTCTTTTGCTTTGGAATTTCCCCCATGAAAATCCACTCAATCAGAACAAATGTCAATCCACTGAAAACCTGAATTGACGTTTGCTCTGAATCAGCTTTAAAGAGCTGCTTTCTGCAGGGAAAGCTCAGGGCAAAAAACAACACTCAGACACGGAGTGGACCTTGGCCTGGAAAGAGCAGGGCAAAAGCTAAGTGTGGATAAGCCCATAAAGTACTGCTGCTCTATGATCTTCCGAAAATTCATGAGCAATGTTTGCCAAGCTGCTATTGGACAGGTCTTGAGTATGTCATGTGAAGGCATCCAGCTTCAACCCACAGTCACAAGGAAGAAGATCACAATGTCAAATTCTTCCAAGTGTTTATGTATGTAGCAGATCCGCACCCTTGTGGATAAAGGCTGGTAGGAACTGGGTTGTACACACAGCCAGAGGGCAGCTATTTATTTCTCTGATTGTGTCAGATCACGGAGGTAGCTGCTGGCTTCTCATGTCCACAACATGGTTCACAGAAGGCTTCCTTATAAGGTTGTGCATGTACCCAGGCGCACCCACAACGGTATGCACAAATCCAGCAGGATGCACTGGCTACAGGGAAGTTAACCAAAACGGGTTAATCTGTAATTGTCTTGTGCTGTGCACTGGAACTGGTGACTTAACACCACAATTTCCAGAGGGCTAGCTGTGTCATAGTGAAAACACTCATTACTGCTGTTGTCACGGGTCACTGTGCTTCTTTTTGCATACATTCAAGCTCTAATTGAATCGGCTGATTAACATTCTACGTCCTTTTAAATGTGTTTGTGGGAGAAGGGTTATTGTTTTTTTATTATGAATTTTGTGTTCTCATTTTTTATTTTTATGTTGTGAACTGCCCTGTGATCTTCAGGTCAAGGGTGGTATACAAATTTTAATCATCATCATCATCACCACTCAAATTGCATTTTCCTTTGACCTCATTGCTTACTGTTCCCTCCCTCATGTGTAAATATTTGTGCTATGGAGGATAACACTTCATAGAAATCTATCTAAGGCTTATGATCCGAGGCCCTGTTGCGAGTTAGAACAGGGCCTTTTCAGCAGTGGCACCACAGTTGTGAAGAGAGAGGCTCACTTGGCCCCATCTTTATGGTCTTTTTGATGCCATTGGTGCCAGGTGATATACCTTTCCATTCACCCAGGTCTTCTGAACAAGTTATGCTTCACAGATATGGCTTCTTTCTGCTGGATATGCAGCAGGAACCTAGCTATGAGTTCTTAGGGAATGTGCTTCCCTTTCCAAAGCACCCTTCCTTCCTTCATATGCATCTAACTGGCAATTCTGTGCTTTGGCCACATTGTGACTCTCCCTTATCTCTAGTCTGAAAATTAAAAGTTAATTGTGCGGTGATGATAATACATAAATATAGAGAGATTTATGCGTGTGGAAGATTTTACTTTCACACCAAATAACGTTTCACTTTCCTTTTGGGGGGGGGGCGGGTTGGGGGGAGATAGTCAGGAATGAATTAAATCCCTTGAAGGTGGCAATACTTTGAACATCCACCGTCACAAATCCATGCCGATCGGTGCTTCATGCCTGTTGATGCACGTTGTGAGACAAGAGTTTTAAAATTGGAATTCACTGACAGCAATGAGAACTGGAGACTCAGCCCCCCAAACTGTGGGCTCCTCTATCAAAATGAAACTTGAAATCTAATCCTCTGCATGGACCGGGGGACTTAGGGCGGCTCTCTGTTTATTTTGATATTTAAGGGAAACCTCAGCGTGGCACGAATTCCTCTTTGCAGTAAGTTAAAAGGGTTACTTCATTAGGAGATTGGGATGATTAAACATGAGAGAGAGACTGTATTCCTAAAACTGGCTTGACACGTATCTCCAAACACCGGGGAACAAAGAGTACTCAAGATGCAGTTGGGAAAAACTATCGTAATCTGCTAATGTGCAAAACTGGTATCTCCTACAGCAACTGTAATGTGTGGACCTTGCACATGAATAAGTGTGCACAGGACTGGAGCACAGCACACACACACACACACCGGTATCTCTATTACCACAGCAGAAGGGGCTTAAGGAGCCTCATTATGAGTTGGCATTTAAATGCACACAACATGGCTCTTAGTTGGCATGAAATGGTACCTGCTTAACGAGGACAAGCAGATGTTTTAGCGGGATAGTGACATTTCCACCCGTCCTGCAAAGCTTCATCGTTTTTCTCTGCTTCCAAGTTGTACGGTCACATTCATGTTTGGATACATCTTGTTTGAGCAGATGGCAAACACAACCCCTGCTTATCTGCCACCATCTCATGCAAGATGTGAAGCTATTCCACAATCCTGGGCCCACACTACCCAATGGTCATTCCCATAAGCATGTGGAGTATTCTCTTAAGTAATTCAACTCAGTCCCTATAACTGCCCACAAATGCTCAAGGCGGTCAGTCATTTTTGTTTTTACCTTCACAGAAAGCCTGTGAGATAAGATTATTGTTTGAGGCACGGTGGCTCGCTCAATGGGCAGAATTCAGCTTGGCGACAGAACACATGGTTGGATGCAGAAGGTCTCAAATTCAACGCCTGGCGTCTCCAGTGAAAAGGGGATTTCAGGAAGAGGAAAGCTCCCTGCCCACAAAACCCTAGAGAACTAATAACAGTCAGAGGAGACAATACTGGGTTAGATGGACCAATAATCTGCTCCAGTGTAAGGCAGCTTCACTTACTCACGGCTGTCAGGGCCAAATTATATGGCCTAATCTGCTTAGAATTCTATTTTGCCATTAAGTGATATAGGACGAGGATGATGGGAGCTTTGGCTGCAAAAAGCAACAAGATTGACACCAGGCAAGCCACAGCAAATGGCTAGTGGGTTGAATTCCACTTGCTAGGCCACAAAGTGCTTGAACTGAATGAAAATATGAAAACAACATCCTTAAGACAATCCCTCAGCACAATGGGGAAGAAAGAAAATGTGCTAATAGCAAGATGGCCCAACAGTTATTTGTGGTCCCAACCTTTAAAAAAGGTCAAAGAAGCCCAAGCCATATATTATTTATTTATTTTTATATATGGGAACCATCGCTTCTTTCTTTTCTATGGCTACTTAATGCCTTTAAAAACAAATGTTTCTAATGAGGTTTGCTATCTAGGAATGGAAAGGATGCTTTTTAATTAAGTAAAATAAGACAGTTATGAATGCACAAAAGTCTCCCACCCACCCAATGCCTACCCCCTCTGCCTACTCTGAAAAACGAATGTTGCTCATTTTCTCTGGCTGATGCACAATGCTACAATCCTTTCCATGCTGATAACATAAATCTTAAGGGGGTTATATAAAGAGGCTGCTAAACGGCAGCACAGTGTGAAGTGTGAGTTGGTTAAATTAAAAAGGCCCAATACAAATTATGCTTTCCCCTGTTTTTATGCACTTAGGGCTGAACCAAGCAAGAGAATAATACCCTAAAAATGGTTTGTGCGTTGTGACATGTTAAGTTCTCAGCAATTTCTGGCACCCAGACCTACACATATTATACTCTCTGCTAGATGTTTTTAAGCAGAGGTTGGACAGCCATCTATCTTGGATGCTTTAGTTGAGATTCCTGTATTTCAGGGGGCTGGAATAGATGACCCTTGGGGTCCCTTCCAACTCTACAATTCTATGGTTCTATGATTGGTTTCTTGTGCCAGGGATCAAAACAGGTTCGAGATGAACATATGAAGCTGCCTTGTACTACGGCAAACCACTGTTCCACTTTCCATAATGCTCTCTATTCTGAATGGTGACAGACCTCCAAGGTCTCAAGCAAAGATAGGTACTTCCTAGTTCTGCTATGCAAGATGCCTTTTAAGCAGAAAAGTCATGGACTGAGCACCTGTGCTTTGCCATCGAGTTCAAACTTTCCCCGCCTTTAGCCCTCCAACCCGAGAGGCCCATTACCTGTAATGTGATAGCTAACTTGGCGGTTGACATCAGATGTATCCTCATCCCAAGTGCTGAGGACAGCCACAACTTCGCCTGGCGAGTCGCTCTCCTTCACGGACCCCCTGTACAGCTCATGCTCAAACACTGGAGCGTTATCGTTGATGTCTGTCACCGTGACGGAGATCAAGGCGGTTGATGAGAGGGATAGGGCTTCTCCCAGGTCGGAAGACACTACAGTGAAGGCAAAGGTGGGGTTCTTCTCATGGTCCAAGTCTTTCAAGGTGCTGATCCAGCCACTGTTGCTGTCAATGGTGAACACCTCTGTGATTGTGTCAGCATCCGATTCTGCTGAGAGAGAGTACGTGACTTGACCGTTTGCCCCCCAGTCTGCATCAATGGCTTTAACCTGGATAAGTTTGGTTCCTATGGGCATTCCTTCCATTATGATGGCTTCATAGCTGGCAGCCTCAAACATGGGTTTGTTGTCATTGACGTCCAAAATCTTAATGTCCACATCCACTGTTAACACAACATCCACTTTATCTAGCTGTACAGTTGCAGCAACCTTAAAGTGAAAGGCAGGAGTTGTCTCGTGGTCCAGTCTCTTATCAAGTTTTATGATGCCGGTGTCCTGCTCTATAATAAACACTCCATCCTTGTTGTTCCCTGGCAATTCACCATTAACTGTGCTATAGGTGGCACCCTGGCTAGGCAAAACATGCAGAACATCAACGGTGCTACCTATTACAGTGTCTTCCGATAGCGTAAAGGAATATTGGGGTTGAGAAAAAGAAGGCAAGATGGTTTCTGGAGGTAAAACGTGAATGTACACAGGGATAAGCGAATGCTTCACAGGAATGCCGCCATCAACTGCTTTGACGAAGAAGGAGAGAACTGTGTTTTTAAGCTGGTTGAAGTTGCCCTTGGTTACCATCCACCCATTGTCAGGGTCAATTTCCAGCAGATCTGCAACAGAAACCGAGGCCTCGCTGTACAACGAGTAGGCAATCCTCGCGTTTGCACCATCATCTGGATCAACTGCTTGGACCTGGGTGACCAAATGACCCTTTCCAACATCTGCTTTGACGCTTGCCCTGTATTCAACTGTCATGAACTGGGGAGCATTGTCATTCTCGTCCACCACTATGACTCGCACGGTACAGAATGTGGTTCTCCCTCCTCCGTCGAGGGCTCTCAGGAAGATGGTGATGTCACCTTCCAAAGGGATCTCCCGATCAAGTTTCTCAGTTGTGATGATCTGTCCGTTGTTATCAATCAAAAAACGATCCTTGGCAAAGTCGTTTATGATTGAATAGCTTATTTGCCCATATATGCCTGAGTCTCCGTCCGTTGCTTTCACATGGATTACCTTGGTTCCAGGAGCGGCGTTTTCTCTAACCTCCGCCACGTAAATACTCTGTGTGAAGACAGGACTGTACAAGTTTGCTCCGAGAATCCGGATATGGACCTGGGCTGTGCTTGTGAACAAACCATCGGAGACAGAGACATTCAGGCTGTACATTGACTCCATCCTCTGCTTCCGATGGTTTGACAGGGAGATGACCCCACTTTTGCTGTCCATCACGAAACTTGTACGGTCATTTCCAGACAAGATGCTGTACTCCAACCGGTCATAATCAGAACTGTCTGCGTCAGAAGCTTGGACGCAAGTCACAAAATGACCCCGAGGAGCTAGCTCACTGACGTACGATTCATATATCAATTGGTTAAAAACGGGAGGGTTGTCATTCATGTCTGTTACGAAGATGCTGACTAGAACTTCGCTGCTCAGAGGTGGGAATCCGTTATCCGTTGCCCGCACTTTCAGACTGCATTGCTGCATCAGCTCGTGGTCCAGCAAGCGGGCTGTTAGGATCAAGCCACTCGTGCCATCGATGTGAAAGTAGTCTGTGCTGTTGAAGTTGTCCTGGACTATCTGATACTGAACAATTTTGTTGTTCTCAGAATCCGCATCCGTAGCAACAACCTGCAAAACAGGTGTCCCAATCAGAGACGCTTCAGATAAAGTGGCATTATATGCAAAGTGGCCGAAAACCGGAGCATTGTCATTGACATCGTTGATAATTAAGTCCACCGTTACTTCAGCTCGGGCACCGGTGAGAGCATCGCTGGCTCTCACTGTCAATTTGAAAATGGGGTTTACTTCATAGTCTAATGGACTGATGACATTGAGGACTCCGGTGTCAAAATCAATGTTGAACTGATTATAGGGATCACCGTCTACAATGATGTAAATGATTCCTTGACCTTCTGGGCTGGTTGCATTGATGCTCAGAATTGGGGTGTGCATTTCGATGTCTTCGTTTACAGAGGCCGTATAGAAAGGCTTGTTGAAAACGGGCATTGCTTTGTTAACTATCGTAATGGGCAGTTCTACAGATGCAGACAGTGATGGATTGCCTCCATCTTTGGCAATGACGATAATTAGATACTCGATGTTAGATAAGTCAGAATTAAAGGCTGCTTTTAATGTGACGCTGCCAGTGTGCCTGTCAATTTCAAAGTGCCCATAGTCCTCCTTCAGCAGGTACGATACGTCGCCATTTGCATCCTTATCTTTATCAATTGCCGTGACTCGGTATATCAGGGTGCCGGGATCAGCTTCAACTTGTACAGCGGCATAGTATGGGAGCCCAACAAACACCGGAGCATTGTCATTGATGTCTTCAATGTGAACTCTGACAACCACCCTGGCTACCCTCAGGTGATCCAGCTCACGACTAGCCTCTACCACCAGCTCGTAAAATTCCTGTTCCTCTCTGTCAAATGGGATGCCAGTAGTTTGAATGACACCCAGAGTGGATTTGATCTTGAATTTGTTCCCTGGGTTTAATATGCTGTACTTCAAGGGCTCGTTAAGGCGGTTTCCAACAGCGTTGACCACTGCTACTTTTGTGATATTGGTGCTGTTTTCTGAGATGGATGTGGAGTAAAGGCTTTGTGTGAAGTGCAGGCCACTGTCCATGGCTTCTTTGACCATTATGGTCACTACAGCAGTGCTATAGAACTTCCCATCGGATACTTTTGCTATGAGCATGTAATGATCTTTGGAGAGGCTGTTGTTTTTTATAGTCAGCACCCCGGAAACAGAATCGATGAGGAAATGCTCTGTGCTGCCTTCAATCAGGCTGTAGGTCATTTCAGGTGGGACTTCTGAATCTGGGTCCGCAGCCCTGAGCTTAAGAACCTCAACTCCAACGTATGTTGGTAGGAGCAAGATGGTCTCAAACATGGCCTGGCTGAAAACTGGAGGGTTATCATTGACATCTGTTACATCAATGGTGACTTCAGCTGGATTTTCTGCCGTAAGCTGTGGATTTCCACTGTCTCGAACGTGGACGTGAAAATGGAAATGTGCAATGGTTTCATGATCTAAGTCAGCAATAGTCCTAATTGCACCTGTACTGGAGTCTACGGTGAAATAGTTCTTTGCAGTGGACTCAACAATCTGGTAGACAAGCAAAGCGTTCTGATTACTGTCCGCATCTGTGGCTCGTATCACAAGCGGATTGTTCCCTAAGCTTCGAACGATGCTATTTACAGGTGCAGCCTCACTGATGCTGCCCAGGTATTTTGAGAAGAGGAAGACTGGTGGGTTGTCATTTTCGTCGATGATCTGGATGTTCACAGTGGCATTGGATGCCATGCCGGCCATGTTTGTGGCTTGTACGGTGAGCTGGTACGAGGAAGTGCGTTCATAATCGAGGGGCTTTTGAGTAGTGATGACTCCGGAGTAGGGGTTTATAGCAAAGGCTCCGTTGGTGTTGCCCTCCTTAACCTCATAAACTAGCGTAGACTGGCTGATTGCTGAGACCAAGATCACTGAAGTTCCAAAGTCAACATTTTCATTCACTTCAGCTTGCCATTCCTTGTGCGTAAACTTCGGATGAGAATTGTCTGACATGGTCACAGATATGCGGACAATGGCTGTGGCTGACAGTGGTGGAGAGCCCTGGTCGGTCACTTTGACTGACAGAACGAACTGGTTCATGGTGGTCAGGTCTGGTTCCTTCAGCACTGTGATGATGCCTAGAACTGGCTCAATCTTGAATGTGTTCCCAGTATTCCCTAAAAGAGAAAAGAAATAGGGATATATATCAAAAATGAAATGTAAATATGTAAAAATGATGAGCAATATGTTCAAAGTTCACTTGTTGGTATCACGTCATGCTTGCATAGCTCAAGGCCCACCAATCCAAACTCAGTCCATCAACCATATACAATGGTACCTCAGGTTACAGACGGTTTAGGTTACAGACTCCGCTAACCCAGAAATAGTACCTCAGGTTAAGAACTTTGCTTCAGGATGAGAACAGAAATTGCGTGGCGGCCACGGCTGCAGCGGGAGGCCTCATTAGCTAAAGTGGTACTTCAGGTTAAGAACAGTTTCAGGTTAAGAATGGACCTCCAGAACAAATTAAGTTCTTAACTCAAGGTACCACTGTGTGGCCTGCTGCCAACCCAACCTTCACTATTTTTGCTGTCCCCAGTGAAAGCAAAAACAAGAGTTTTGTCAAGAACAGGCATCTCCAAACTCAGCCCTCCAGCTGTTTTGGGACTACAACTCCCATCATCCCTAGCTAACAGGACCAGTGGTCAGGGATGATGGGAACTGTAGTCCCAAAACAGCTGGAGGGCCGAGCTTGGGGATGCCTGGTCAAGAACCTGGTAAGCCATCATTAATGGCCTGACGGTTGTGTTTTTCTTGGTGAGACTAACTCTGCATGCACACAGCTGCATTTTATACTAAAACCAAGCAGAACTAGGCCTGAACACTGCCCACTTGGGATCCCTGTATAAACCACTCTGAGAAATCTGAAGTATAATCTTGATATAAGTGAAGAATTCAAGCTGATTAATCTAATATGATGCAGAAGATCTGTGGGCAAGACTTTAAAAACCAATGGATTGCACTAAGACTACCAAGGGGCTATCTCTATACTAGAAAACATTATTCATTAAGAACAAATAAAACTTGGCAGATGAAGATGATGGACTATATGGAACTTGCCAAACGGACCGGGAGACTCCGAGACCAGAGAGAAGAGACGGTGGAAGAAGACTGGAAGAAGTTTAAGGAATATTTGAAAGAATATATTAATATTTAAACCTTAGAATAGCTTAGGAAGTGGATATAGGCTGTAGGGTTAGAAGTAGAAGATAGGGTAAATGAGTGTGAAAAGGTGAAAATCTTTTTTTGTGTGTGTGTTGTGTGGTGTGTTTTTTGGTTTTTGTTTCTTGTTTTATGTAACCTTTTGGAAAATTAATAAAGATTATTTTAAAAAAAAGAAGAAGTAGAAGATAGGGTATATGAAGTTATTTTAAGTATGATTTTAAAAAAAGATGGTTAGAAATTATGATATTTGTAAACTGCTAAAGATGAAGTCAAATGAAAATCAGATAGGTGGGACTTGGGGAAGCCAACTTAACAATGTTTAGAAAAATAAGGATATAACAAGAATTTGTTCATATTGTTTGTCTTTCCTGTCTGTGTTTTTTATCTGTGTTATAAAAGGAATAAAAAAAAATTGGGAAAAAAGATCAAATAAAACTCTTCATTTTCATTTCAAAGATAAAATAATAATCTTCATTTTCATTTGATTATATATGGTTTGAGGTTATATTTTTGTTTTCATGGATGTCACTTTTATATAGTACATAGTGTGCACCGCATAGAGGTTTTAAAATGTATATATGAAATGCTTTTACATAAATAAGTAAATAAATGTGTGATTACACTTCCCACCGCTTTTTGAAGAGATCGCAGTAGTTTAAGTCTATAGTGCAGAGATGCTGTAAAAGGGTAAACAAACCATTGCCAACCTTGGTGCCCTCTAGACATTTTGGACTACAATTCCCATCAGTCAAAGCCAGCACAGCTGTACTGGCTGGGGCTGATGAGAACTGCAGTACAAAATATCTGGAGGGCACTAGATAGGCAGAAGCCACCTGCAAATCATTAACTGGGCTGTAGTATTGATACAGTACCACCTGCTAGGATCTTTGTGACCGACTGCAGCTGATCTATGGACTTTGCTTGCTTGCATTATGCAATTTGCACAGTAATCCTACCCAGAAGTAAGCCCCACTAAATTCAACAGGATTTACTTCCAGGTGAGTGTGTATAGGATTGCAGCCTTATCCTAAACTCGCTTGCCCCAGAGTTAGTCCTATCAAATGCAGTGGGGCTTACTTCTAAATCAACATGCATAGGATTACACTAACAAGGCTGTGATTTCATACATGTTTACTAGAAAATGCATTTTACTGAAAGCTCCTGGACTTCAAAGAAGAAGGGTTTAAGATCTGGCACAAAATAGAGATAAAAGACGAAGAAGCCAAATTGTTCAATGCATGAGCAACAGTTCACGGCCTGAAATAATGAGGATTTTGAGCAATTTAATATTACTGGTTGAATGCTTCAATAGGACTGAAGGCGAAGCATGAGAACAGCATATATATATATATATATATTTCAAGAAACACACACAAAATAATAGCTCATAAAATAGATAAAAGGAAGCTAATGACAGCAAGGTTTGTTTATTGATCTTAGTGGATAGGGAAAAATCAAGAAGAATCATTGTTCAGTAAAGACGTAAATGGGCTCCTTAGAAGGTCAGGGTTTGCCACATGCAAAATGCAATAATGAGGTAGGGTCAAGAGACTCTTTTGTCAAAAGCATACAATGAGGACCGAAATGACCTGTTCCAAGGAACATGGAGCTGGTGGTGGAATCAACAGAAACTCCCTGCATTCAATTTGTCCTCACCTGCCTAATGTGTTGTCAAGCTTATCCTATGCCCTGGAACACAGAGAGCTGCATTCTACTGAGACAGACCACTGGCCCATTTACTTCAGTATTGTCTACAATGATTGGCAGCAGCAGTCTAGGGTTTCAGACAAGGATCTAACCCAGTCCTAACCTGAGATGCTGGGGATTGAACATGGAACCTTCTGCCTGCAAAGCAGGTGGTTTACCGATGAGCCAAGGCCCTTGGTTTAGTTTTCATTGAGTTCACCTTTACTGTATCTTTTTAACCTTACTGTACACAGCTTAGAGACTATGCTGTTAAAGTGCAAAATGAATTGTGGAAATAAAATAGGAATAGATTGATAGGGCAAAGGCAGCACAGGGAAGGGGAGTGGTGGAGCTTGCTCAATATCCCCACCCTCCCTGGGATGATTTCCATCATGTGTAGTTTTTGGACACCATCAGACAAGACACAGGCTAAGTTCAACTCCATGTTGCAAAGGGACATTTCAACACAGGGCTCCCATTTTCAGCGAGACACTCCTGCCGCTTGCAATATTTTTGCCCTCTGTGTTACGTTCCATCTACAGCAGTGGTTCCCAACCTTTCTTCCCTTTGAGCCACCTTAAAGTAGCTGAGGATCTTGCAGGAGTGTTTAATGGTTGTTTGTCTTGTTGTAGCTTTGGGCCAGATGCTGTATGGTTTTTAACTCTATTGTACAGCTTCCTTCATTTCTTATAAATTGTATTTCATTTGTATTACACACGACCACAAATCCAGACAGGCTGCAGACCACCTGAATGAAGCATGTAGACCACTGGTTGTCCATGGACCACAATTTTGGAACTCCTGGTCCACAGATTGACAAAAAGGATGAGTTAATAGGTGAAGGAGGTAATACATGATTCAACCAACCAATGGGCCTGTATGTGCCTCTACCATCTGTATAGTTTCTAGGATGGAAATATATGAACACATCTATACATTTCTGTGCTCATCACTCTTATCTGGATTCAGATTTTGTTAAAGTGTGTGCGCATTGGTTTCTCTTACTGAGTGCTGTGCTCACATGAGCTGAATTCCCTGAGAAGTAAGGAACCATGCATATAAGCTGAACCCATCATTCAAAATTAGCATCCTCCCTGCACATCCTTTCATGGGTCAGAGGAACAACAGCCTCAGAAAGTTCTATTACGCTGCATTGAGGAACATCTGGGGATAACGAAATGGTGGGAATTTGCAGCTGAAACAGAGGTTTGAAACCTTGACTTGCTGGCAACATGGGAAGATGAAATCGAAATCAGAGGCAGTCGTGGGGAGATAGTCTCATCAAAGGGTTTCAAGCTTTGGAATAATTGGTCTGTGTAGAAGCCTCACACTGTCCACACTTCCAGGCCACTGCCTCATCCCTCCCTCCTCCATGATTATGGGAGCCATTTTATTACACACTTTTCACAGCTGATCTTAACACCATTGTATCACTCTATCAATTCACCATAGGGCCAAATTAGACACTTGGAAGCAGATCTAAGTCTCAAAGAAACAGGAGCAAGACTGCAGCGAAGAAGCGTTGGGCAAGGGGAGGGATGGCTGACCCTTAAACCTGCCACTCCCTCCCTGCCTCGCAACCCCGCCTCCCCACCTTTCTACCCAAATGCGGTCCAAATGGATTTTTACCACAACACCAAGGAATAGTGGCTTGAGGCAGGGAGCTGATGTAGAGGAAAAGTGCTGACTGGGTCACATACTCCCCTTCTGCTCGCCATCTTCCCTGCTGCTTTGCAGCTGTTTAGCAGCAACTAGGGTTTAAGATCTGGGTCTTCTGTCAACTTGATGAGTTACCCCTGCTAATTCCCTTTAAAAGAAGCTAAACTTGTCAACCTCACGTACTTAGACAACAACCTCATGATGCCATCTTAACGATTCATGATGCTATAGACTGAGTGGGGAGGTGTATAGATTGGGATGCACTTATAAACTTGAAAATCATAAATAAAATAAAATAAATCAGTGTTGATTGGTAAGGGTGATCAAGCCTGCAGTTCCAGGAGGAGGGCACACATAGGGGAATTGGAATTGTGATTGACAGAACTGAAAGCAAATACATTGCAGGAAGAGACCTAGTCCAGGGGTCAGCAAGCTTTTTCAGCAGGGGGCCAGTCCACTGTCCCTCAGACTTTGTGGGGGAGGCCGGACTATATTTTTTTTTGGGGGGGATGAATGAATTCCTATGTCCCACAAATAACCCAGAGATGCATTTTAATTAAAAGCACACATTCTACTCATGTAAAAACATGCTGATTCCCGGACCGTCCATGGGCCGGATTGAGAAGGCGATTGGGCCGGATCTGACCCCCGGGCCTTAGTTTGCCTACCCATGACCTAGTCTAACGTGGTCCTGGTTGCAGGAACCTATCCCTTCTGTTATCACGCTAGAGTTATCCAAACAATGGCAAGTTAGGTAAATGTGCAGTGGGACAAGCGGAACATGCTCAGTCCACATCCTGCCCTTTGCATGTTTGCTGTAATTGTGCATGAAAAAGAATGTAAATCTTCTAATGCATGATCCATCCCAGACTGTGTATTTGTGAGCACAGGCCTGTACGTAGCAAGCCACTGGATAAATGCTCCACAGAACTCTGTGCACATGGTTGAGGTTAAGAGGGTAGGCCTGAGGGCAGGGAGGGCAGGCTCAAAAGACTGACCCAATGTTTGTTTATTGTACTCAGGTTGCCAGATGTATATCTATGCAAGCTGAAAGATCCGAGTCCTTGGCCACTGTTCTAAAATGCAGGCCGAGGAATGTAAGTCCAGAAGTAGCTGGCAATGGTTGACAGAAGCAAGTTTCCATTACTGGAAAAGAGTGAGAGGCTGCCAGTTGGGCTCCTTGAAATAAACGGTGGGGCAGGAGGCAAAAGAACAATGACCACAGGAAAGTAATGGAAGCAATGGCCTCAACTAGACAGGAAAATTGCTGCAGGATAAAGTGAGCTGGACTGCCAAGGTTGAAATGCATCAAGCTTGGAGTGATTCTGCAGCCATCTTCTACAACCAAATGAAAGCATTTATCTATCATGCTGAAACCGAGGGGAGAGAGGAGGAGAGGCAGAGGAGGGAGAAGGGCTACTCAGTCAGCTTTGCTGAAAGCTCAGCTCCCTTCAGTTCCTTCTCTTTTTGAGTTGTTTCCATGCCAGCTGGTCAACCAAAGAATTTTTTAAGATTAAGAATTGGTGCCTGAGTTTGCTTGCTTTCCCTCTTACACCCACACACCTTCTTTCCTTTTATGTTGACTGATCGAACCCAAAGAGTACTCATTAATGGTTCCTCATTGTTGTTGTTGTTTAGTCGTGTCTGACTCTTCGTGACCCCATGGACCAGAGCCCGCCAGGCTCTCCTGTCTTCCACTGCCTCCCGCAGTTTGGTCAAACTCATGCTGGTAGCTTCGAGAACACTATCCAATCATCTCGTCCTCTGTCGTTCCCTTCTCCTTGTGCCCTCCATCTTTCCCAACATCAGGGTCTTTTCCATGGAGTCTTCTCTTCTCATGTGGTGGCCAAAGTATTGGAGCCTCAGCTTCAGGATCTGTCCTTCCAGTGAGCACTCAGGGCTGATTTCCTTCAGAATGGAGAGGTTTGATCTTCTTGTAGTCCATGGGACTCTCAAGAGTCTCCTCCAGCACCATAATTCAAAAGCATCAATTCCTCATCAGTTCCTCATTACCCTGGGAAAAAAGTGGCAAGTGGGGTGCTGCAGGGTTCTGTCCAGGGCCCGTTGTCGTTTATCGTATTTATAAATAATTTGGATGAGGGAATTGAGGGGGTGCTCATCAAATTTGCAGATGACACCTGTCAGGGGCTCAGGGGCAGAGCCAAAGGGGAAAGAGGAGTTGGAGAGCGAAGGGGAGGAATCTGACGGGAGCTTAGGAGGGTATGACAGTGACCCGAGAGATTCCATGAGTCTCTCCAGTGAATCAGAAGATTCTCAGAAAGAGGCGCCCAGGGTCAGGGCAAGGGGAGCCAGCGGTGAGTCTCCAAGCGGCAGCTGGAGATCAGGGCCAGCTTCCCTGCCAGAGCGTAGCGGGGGGGAAGAAGCCCACAGATCAGAACCGGCGTCCACTCCAGCAGGGAGAGAGAGAGAGTCAGAACTGACCACGCCTCCGTCGGAAAGTGGAGGGGCGGAGCGGAGGTCAGTTCCAGCCAGCCCCTCTGAAGGAGGAAGCAGTGACAGGAGCAGTGTAGCCGTTAGGAGGAAAGTGGCCGGCTGGGCGCGCGCGCCAAGTTCAAATGTGCAGGCGCACGGGTCAGCAGAAAATCCGGATTGGGAGCCAGGTCCCAAAGCCCGCCGGAGACAGGGGGAGGAGTCAGAGGAATCCGCCTCCGAGGAGTCCAGGAGGGGTGGAGCCCCGGGGGCAGGAGGACCCAGAGGAGAAAAGAGCAGAGGAAGAGGTGGAGCAAAGCTCGGGTGTTAAACTGGTGTAGGGGAGGGGAAGAGTCAGACGGAGCTTCGACGGTCTAGAGTTACAGACGTAGGGATGCGCGCCACGGATGTAAAACCAACAATGAACTTCAATAAAGACTTTTGTATATAAAGAGACACTGGCGTTGGTCCTTTGTGAGCTGGGACCTGAGGCACCCCTGACAGTAAGCTCCGTCCCCACAAAAAAGTTTTTTTTGCGAGCTCACGAAGATAGGAGGAGATGACTACGGAGGCGCAGGTGGCAGCACTGCAGGAGGCAGTCAACAAGCTCTACGCAGAAGTAGCAACCTCCAGAAAGAGAGAGGAGGAAGCAGAAGCGCGCTGCAAAGATCTGCAAGCCAGGTGGGAACATTTGTACAAACAGGGACCCAGATCGGAGGGAGTTGGCCTCGGCAAGAGGGGGGCCAGCATAGTCTCGCACTTTAATGGGGACCTGAAACAGTATCCCAACTTCAGAGCAGACATTGTTTTTGCGCTGAGATTGCTTCAAAAAGACTTTAGAGATGAGGAGGAGAAAGTGGGGTTCATCATAACTCACTTACATGGGGAAGCTAAATCCTGGCTGCGCAACTTATGGCGCGAGGATGATCCCGCCCTCCGGGATTCGGACGCTTTTATAGAGGCTATGGACGCTTGTTTTCAATCAACCATAGATGTTGACGTGGCCAGAAGGGAAATGCACGGCTTGCGGCAGGGCAAAGCAATGGTGAGACAATGCCACTCCCACTGGCGTTGGTCCTTTGTGAGCTGGGACCTGAGGCACCCCTGACAACACCAAACTGGGAGGGGTAGCTAATACCGTAGAAGAAAGAATCGGAATTCAAAATGACCTTAACAGATTGAAGAACTGGGCGCAAGCTAACAATGAATTTCCGTAGGGACAAATGTAAGGTTCTGCACTTAGGCAGAAAGAACCAGATGCACAAATATAGGATGGGGGACACCTGGCTTACTAGCAATACATGTGAAAAGGATCTACAGGTCTTGGTGGACCACAAGCTTAGCATGAGTTAACCATGTGATGCAACAGCAAAATAAGCTAATGCTATTCTAGGCTGCATCAACAGAAGTATAGTATCCAGATCAAGGGAAGTAACAGCACTACTCTATTCTGCCTTAGTAAGACCACACTTGGAATACTGTGTCCAATTCTGGGTACCGCAATTCAAGAAGGATGTTGACAAGCTGGAATGTGTGCAGAGGAGGGCGAACAAGATGATCAAGGGTCTGGAAACTAAGCTTTATGAGGATCACTTGAAGGAGCTGGGTAGGTTTACAGCCTGGAATAGAGGAGACTGAGAGGATATATGATCACCATCTTCAAATAACTTAAGGGCTGTCATATGGAGAAGGGAGCATGCTTGATTTCTCCTGCTCTGGTGGGGAGGACTCGAATCCATGGCTTCAAGTTGAAAGAAAGGAGATTCCCTACTAAACATTCGGAAAAACTTTCTGACAGTAAAAAGCTGTTCAGCAGTGGAACAGACTCCCACAAGAAGTGGTGGTCTCTCCTTCCTGGGAGGTTTTAAAGCAGAGGTTGGATGGCCATCTGTCATGGATGCTTTAGCTGAGATTCCTGCATTGCAGGGGGGGTTGGACTGGATGACACTTGGGGTTTCTTCCAACTCTACGTTTTTATGATTCTATGTCAAGCTCTCTAGATTATAATCCTGTAAGCATTTTGTTTTTACTGACCTCTGGAAGCTATTGGTGTATTGGTGATGGGGATGCTTTAAGTCAGCAAATAATAGAAAATTATTGGGCTCAATGGGGCTTATTCCTTAGTAAGTGTGTTTAGCAATGCAAGTACAACAGCAGCAGCAAGAACAACAATGGTGCAATTCTGAGATGCATAAAAAGGCCCTGCAAGGCACCATCTCTTGAATGCAAGACATAAGAAGGCAAACGAGTTAAACATAAGGCCTCATTGATTTCTAAGGAACCTTGGCATACTTACCTTCCTTGCTGTAATCTTTAATTCTATCCAACATTTGCATTACATCGTATGATTTTATTATGTGCAACCTCACAGTGCAAAAAACCTCACTTGCTAACCTGCTTCAATTGTGTAGATCAGCTCTGCGTTTTCGCCTTTGTCTTTGTCCAAGGCGGTGACCTGCAGAACAGCAGACCCAATGGCAGCCGATTCAAACACAGAGGCTTCGTACAAAGGGCTGGAGAAGTACGGACTGTGATCGTTGGAGTCTTCCACGTTGACAATTACCCTTGCCAAATTCCGCCGATAGGGGAACTCTTGGTCACGAACCTGGGGAGAAGGAGCAACAATCACTGGAGCACAGAGACAAACTGGTAGGGCCACAAAACCCAGTCAATGTTACATCTGGGGAAGAAGTCATGAATTCAATACTTCTTTACATATTGCCTAGTTAAACTAGGGAGTTTGGTACTGCAATGTGTAGTAACAAGTTTCTTTGGGTAATTATAGGGACAGAACTACCTAAAATGTACATAAACTTATTCATGCATGCTACTACAGCGGCAAGAATGTTACCTGCCCCCAAATGGAAAAGATAGAAGTCCCAGCAAAGGAAGAATGGATGCAAAAACTTATGGAATATGCAAAAATGGTGAAACTTACCGGAAGAATAAGAAATCAAGATAACAAACTTTTTATATCTGAAGAAGTGTGCATGCACATGAAAGCTTATACCCAGAACAAACTTAGTTGGTCTCTAAGGTGCTACTGGACAATTATTTATTTGCTTATTTATTTAAACTTTTTTTATATAAAAGAATGGAAATGGTTTATTGAATATTTACAGATAAATTGCAAACAGATAAGAACATTGGCAGGATTATTGTAATAACCTGCAGTTTAATAAGAGTATATATTTAAAGCAGATGAACAAATTAAGTTAATTTGGATATGCAGAAGATATGAAAAACCAATTTAAGGAACCGTAGAAAGAGGGGGAAGGAAGTCAAGCTGTGAAATGTTAAAATGACTGTAAAATTATTGAAATGTATAAACCTGAAAATCATGAATAAAATTTAAAAATATATATGTAGTAACAGATCCTGGCCTTGAGGGTAAAGCTATATACCTGAATAGTAGCTGGTTGGTTGAAAATACTTCACTATCACCGTTTATTAGGTTTTGCTTCTGGAGCAGAACCAGTGAGCTAGCCATCCATCTTTTTTTCTGCTTTTTAGTTCCAGATTTTGTACAGAAACGGCACATGCATCAATCGCTCCGGTTTTAAGGACACGTTCTCACTCCCAACCAAGCTAAACAGCTCCCTGATATGCTCCAGCATGCAGGCAAATCACAGGGCAGGAAAGAGATCCTGATGTGATTGTGCAATAGATCGTGACTAGAGAGGCAGCTGGACATTTGCAGGCTATGAAGTTGACTATCTCCGCACTAAATACTATGACAAGGAGAACTGAGTGAGATCCAGTCATCCCTGGAAAAAACTAGTAAAATTTCTCAGAAGGTGTGAGATGAAAGTCAAGGTTAGTTTGGAAGTTCTAACCCACTGCCAACAAACAACAATAATAATTTCTGCTCCATAATACAGTGGTACCTCGGGTTAAGAACTTAATTCGTTCTGGAGGCCTGTTCTTAACCTGAAACTGTTCTTAACCTGAAGCATCACTTTAGCTAATGGGGCCTCCCGCTGCCGCCGCCACACAATTTCCATTCTCATCCTAAAGCAAAGTTCTTAACCTGAGGTACTATTTCTGAGTTAGTGGAGTCTGTAACCTGAAGCGTCTGTAACCTGAGGTACCACTGTATTCAGCATCCACTTCACAGCAGAACACCCCCCCCACACACACACACAATTTAGGCGCATAAACCAGTGTCTTCTGCCTTGGGAAAATCCTACAGAAATGCAAGATGAATCAGAGCACTTTGCTTTCAATAACAGGGCACGGGCAAGGAGAGCGATAATCACCTTGTTTAATAGATTCTGAAAGAACTTTAAAAACTTCTCCTGAGAAACTCTTTAAGAGAGTCACCTCTGATAAAAGGCCCAGGCATTGGGAGATTATAATGTTTCTTCCGTCTTCTCCCTTAAGATGGCAAAACCATTTTGTGAGATAAAAACGCTTTCATAGTAAGCCTCACAAAGCTTCAGCACTGAAAGAACGGAACGAATAAATAAATGCACGCCAGTGGAGGGAGGAAAATTAATTACTGCTTCCTTGCCAATTTTTAAAGCCCCTGTGCTTATCAGTAGACTATAGCATACACCTATTAATAGGCACTGATTGTGCCTGAGCACACAGTTAATATTCAGTTCTTACCATTACGTTTAGGATGTGCTTATCTTGGGCTTCGTGGTCTAAGCGCTCGGCGGTGTACAGAACTCCTGTGTTGGGATCCATCCTGAACTTCCTCACACTGACTGAGTCAATACTGCTATGAATGATGTAGCTGAGCTTGTGCTTCTCATCTCTGTCTATGGCTTCAACTTGCAGGATCTCAGTGTCAGGGAGGATGTCCTCAGAAATCGTGACGTCGTAACTCGGGTGGGAAAATTCTGGACCGTTGTCGTTGTTGTCCAATACTTTGATGAGAACCTGCAATATAAAAAGAGGGAAAGCGGGGTTTCGTGTTGGAGAAGAAGCAAATTATACACAGATACCTGCCACATTGGCTGTTTTCAAACATCATGGTATAATGATGATAGATTACGCTTACTTGCACATAAGCAAATTGCACCTGCTTCACTCCTCCCCGCTCCTATTAGGAGGAAACAAATGGCAATATCCGGCTTACAGTTCCATCCAAACTAGGGATTGTGGTTTGTTTCACTCCCAGAAAACAATAATCTTCAGACCAAGTTTGATCTTGGCTTATCATCTGGACTCAGTCCTTGGAACTCTTGGCTTGAGGAAACCCCAGTACTTTATTTAAGAAACACAGTCTCATCATGAGCTCAAGGTACAGGATACATGGTTCATAAAGCAAAGTTCCAGGATGAATCACCAGGCAGTAGAAAAAACACAGTGTCTTTGCAAAGTTTGGAGGAGTGTGAGTTTCAAAGGATGGTTGCGTTTCAGTTCCCGCATGGTTTCAGAAAGTGCAAAATAGGCTGGTTTGCCTTTAAATGAGAACTGAATCAAGATTCTCCCCCATCCCTATAGACTAACCATTCCAATGTGTCTGTGGGGAAGCCTTGGCAGGTCACAATAAAACACATAAAATAGATGTATGTGACCGTTCCAAGGTTAAGTCCCATTCAGTTCAATAGGGAATAGACAGGTGTAGGATTGCACTGTAAAGAACTCATCCCTTCATTCCCTACTTGTTTCCTATCTGAGAAAGGAACCTTATATGAGACTTAAGTTGTTTGGTGCTCGAGGTTAATTGCCTAGCTGCAAAGCAGCACAATGAAGGTGTTAGCTTGCCTTGTAGCAAGTCTGACCAACAAGGTCAGAGACATAAGAAGAGCTTGCTGGATCAGGCCAGTGGTCCATCTCGTCCAGCATCCTGCTCTCACAGTGGCTAACCAGATGCCTGCAGGAAACTGACAAGCACAGGATCTGAGCACAAGAACACTCTGCCGTCCAGTGGCTTTCATAAACTGCTATTCGGAAGTGTTACTGCCTCCAACTGTGAAGGCGCAGGTATCATGGCTAGTGGCCATCAACAGCCTTTTCCTCCATGGATTTTAATGCCATCTAAGTTAGGGACGTGGGTGGCGCTAAGGGATGCAGGTGGCGCTGTGGGTAAAACCACAGTGCCTAGGACTTGCCGATCGTATGGTCAGCGGTTCAAATCCCCGCGGCGGGGTGAGCTCCCGTCTTTCGGTCCCAGCTCCTGCCCACCTAGCAGTTCAAAAGCACCCTTACAAAAAGTGCAAGTAGATAAATAGGTACTGCTTTATAGCGGGAAGGTAAACGGCGTTCCGTGTGCTGCACTGGTGCAGGCTCGCCAGAGCAGCGATGTCACACTGGCCATGTGACCCGGAAGTGTCTGCGGATGGCGCCGGCTCCCGGCCTCTAGAGTGAGATGAGCGCACAACCCTAGAGTCTATCAAGACTGGCCCGTACGGGCAGGGGTACCTTTACCTTTAAGTTAGTGGACCGGGATGCGGGTGGCGCTGTGGGTTAAACCACAGAGGCTAGGACTTGCCGATCAGAAGGTCGGCGGTTTGAATCCCCACGACGGGGTGAGCTCCCGTCCCTGCTCCTGCCAACCTAGCAGTTTGAAAGCACGTCAAAGTGCAAGTAGATAAATAGGCACCGCTCCGGTGGGAAGTTAAACGGCGTTTCCGTGCGCTGCTATGGTTCGCCAGAAGCGGCTAAGTCATGCTGGCCACATGACCCAGAAGCGGCTAAGTCATGCTGGCCACATGTACACCGGCTCCCTCGGCCAATAAAGCGAGATGAGCGCCGCAACACCAGAGTTGGCCATGACTGGACCTAATGGTCAGGGGTCCCTTTACCTTTACCTTAAGTTAGTGGACATCACTGCTTCCTGTGGGATCGAGTTCCATAGTTCAACTATGCACCGCATGAATAAGTACTATAAAAAAATCTGCCCTGAATCTTCCAACAACTAACTTCACTGGATATCTATAAGTTCTGGTCTTACGAGAGAGGAAGAAAAAACTTTTCTCCATCCACATTCTCCATGCCATGTTATAAACGTCTATACTGAGAAGATGCTGATCTCCAGGATTTCAGATGGGGCTCTTCCAACTCAGCTGAAGATGCCAGGGATCAAACCCTGCAAAGGATGTTCTCTACCATGGGGTATAATGTAGTGAAGGGAGAACAGACTGTGGCTCAAATGCCTCTCTCTTCCACCGTACTCTAAAGCAGTGTTCCCCAACCTTGGGCCTCCAGCTGTTTTTGGACTACAACTCCCATCATCCCTCGCTAGCAAGACCAGTGGTCAAGGATGATGGGAATTGTAGTCCAAAAACAGCTGGAGGCCCAAGGTTGGGGAACACTGCTCTAAAGCACCGCCGCAGCAAAAAGTTTATTTGATGCTCCACCAGATGAATCACTGACTTCTGTAAAGTTTTTTCCTGAATGAATTGCCTGCCACTTCACCCCTGCCTCGTTTGGCTGCTTGTGTAGATGAGGTCGGCGTGGCCACCGTCTCATTACTACCTCCATCAACAATGTGAGCCAATATAAAGCTACTGGCAGCACTCAGCAGCTGTTTTGCCTGACACAGGTTCAGTCAGGATGCGGAGAGTGTGAGCTCTGGAAAAATACGAAGGGCAGACGGAGCTAATAAGAAAACAACTCACCGCCCCCACACTTTTTAAGTGTGCGTAGGGGGTAGAGGGGTGGGTGGAGAGGATGTCTACTCAAACGCGTTTACAAGGCTTCAGTCTGAGCCCAGTCACTTACACCCACACTTCGAGTTTTAATGGAGGAAAAGATTTACTTATAAGCTATTATGATAGTATTTTATGAAAAGAGGTTGCCCTCGGAGAGACGTGAAACATTAGCTTTCCGCGACGTTAGTGAGACGTTTGCTGAATGCTTTACCAGAAAGTGCGTAAACAATTCCCAAAAAATTGCCTGTAATGACCTATCCTGGGAACAGTCTAGAAGGCAGTTGCAATAAAATTCCCTCTAAGTTAAGACTATATTACATGTTGCTTAGGGTAGGTTTGGGATGGAGTCGTTTCTGTGAGCTTTACACGGCTGGGGGAACAGAAGAGGGAAGACGGGGTACCCAGATTTGCTGAAGATGGAGGCAGCAGTAGAAACGATGGATACCCTGTAAAATCCAAACTGCTAATGATTAGAAATATCCCTTGCATGCTATGGCTTGGGATACTCACTGGGATACTCTGTTGGCCTTAGGAAAATAAGGAATGGTAGAAATCATTAAAACTGAGCACACTGTTGGGAACTTAGGTTGCTAAACAACAACAGCAACAACAATAATATGGAAAGTTAAGAACGAAAGAACTGAAAACCAAAGGTCTAATTCTGTTTTGTTGGGTCTAAAGTAATGCCCCGTTCTATGCATATGATGAATGATATTACAACTAATGACACCAACACGGCATAAACATACATTGTGGCTGCCATACACGATGCCCACGAACCTGAGTAAATCCCAATGAATTTAATGAGTATTCTGAGAAGACATGCACAGACCTGCTATATGTATTTTTTAAAAGCTGCGATGTATCTGAGATGGACCAATGAATCAAAATTATTACTTTGCCACATTTAAGGAAGAGATTGCGGGTGGGGAGCTTACATTGAGCTGTGTGTTCCCACAGCATTCTCTATATCCTCTATAGCAGATTAGGCTCAAGGTCACCTGGCAACCTCAATCACAGAATCATGAAACAGCAGAGCTGGAAGGGACAATCTAGTCCAACCCCCTGCAATGCAGGAATTTCAACTAAAGCATCAACGTCTGAGCAGGAATTTAAACAGTCATGTTGTATGAAGCTACCTTATACAAAGTCTGATTGGTCCATCTATCCCAGCATGCCTTCTATTTGACTCCTGAAACAGTTCAAAAACCACAGCGTGGCTTTCAATTGGCTGCAGGAGCTTCCTGCACTCAATCGGAAGCCATGGAACCCGCGTCAGACGTTCGGCTTCCAAAAAAAAGTTTGCAAATCGGAACACTCACTTCTGGGTTTCCGGTGTTCGGGAGCCGATTTGTTTGGGAGCCAAGCCATTCGACAACCAAGGTACCACTGTAATGTTTATTATCCCTTTTAGTAGTAGTGAAAATACAAGGAACCCAATCTGGATAAGAAGCCGGGGTAGTCCTGATGCAGATTGTTCCCCTGCCCTGCACACTTGTTATTTGAATTTGGATCAAATGAGAGATCCCCCCCCCGCCCCTAATTCAAAAGCCATTCACACAATTGCTAATTGCATAAACAGCATCACGTCTAGTTTGGCCCTGATGTAAAAGCCTTAACATTTTAAATGTCATAAGCTCCCATTTTCACATGAATATTGTTTTAGTTCAGGGGAATTGGCCCTGCTGGGGAGATTTTTTTTAAATCACACACAGAAGATTAATTGCAAGTCTACAGGGAAAAACAAAACCAGCGTGTGCTCACTTCAGAACGTTTGTTGCCCAAATATTGCAAGAATCGGCTGTTTAATGGGCTATCCAAAAGCTTTACTCCACTAAAGAGAAATACTAGAAAAAAATGAGAAAATATATATATGCATATCACATAATGTATATTTATGCATGTGTGCGTGAGAAGGGGGGGGGGCAGGGCTTATCCACACCTGCCTTTGCTTTGCTCTTTCCAGGCATGGTTCACATTTTAAAGTTGTGTGCCAAAATACCCTTTTTTAAAACCCAGAGCTTTCCCTGCAAATATCCGCTCTCTGTAGCTGAATCGGAGCAAACAGCAATCTGCAGAAAGCCCAAATTCATGTTTGCACCAATTGAGCGCCAAAGAGCAGGGCAAAACAAACAAGCAAGCAAACAAACAAACCATCCAGACACTGAGCTTTTAAGTGCAGACTTGTGCCTAGAAAGAGTGGCGCAAAAGGCAAATGTGGAAAAGGCCAGAATGAGAGGCAAGAGAGGATGGATACGCAGACAGAGGTCTTACGGCTAC